TCTGCAGAATGGCCTTGTTTCTATATACTTGTACATATGTTTTCTACTGAGATTTCTAGATTTCTCATAGAAACATTTGATTCTCTTAGCAAGATATAGAGCATTCTAACCATTTAAAGCAATATAACAAAAGTTGGAGCATTCTAGGTAGACTTGTTGCAATGTATTTCAGTAAATGCATAGTGGAGTCCATTGCCCAAGCTTAAGGTGGAATCATATAGGAAATAAGAAGATAGGCTGGAATGAGATTTTTAAAACTGGTACGCAAACCACGTCTTTGCTTTTGGGTGTGTTACTAGTTTTACCCGGGAAGGGTTCTAGTTCTTATTTCACCCCATTCAGACTTCCTGTCTGCCGCGTCAGTTCTTTCATGTGTCTGGGATAGAGAGGGTTCTAAGAGATAGGGAGCTTCTGGTAGGGAAAGGTGGTCATGTAGTAGCACAACCTAGCTCCTTCTTGTTTTCCTGGTCTTACACATTGCTCCCCTCACCCCACTATGGTCCAGCATCTTGGCCAACTTTCAATTGCCCACCCACAACACCCCATTTCCCAACTCCATATCTTTGCACTGGCTATCCATCATGTCAGGAAAACTCTTCCTCCTTATCCCTACCTTTTAGAATCCTTGGCTTCCTTCAAGCTCAAAAATCACTTTCAGCAGGACACCTTTCTCAGTCCTCCTAAGGTGCTAGTGCCTTCCCTCCCAAGGTTACCTTCATCTACTCTGCCTAAATTTTGTATGTACCTGCTTTTATTCCTGTTGTCTCTTCCATTAGAATATAAGCTCCTTGAAGACAGGGCCTGTTACTACTTTTTTCTTTGTATTTCCTTTATTTTCACAGTTTTTACATTTAGTAAGCACTTAATACATGTTTATTGATTATTTAGAGCAATACAACATTGTGGAAAGATAATTGGACTTTTGCTAATGTAGTGATTATACACAATGCATGGTTTCACATGAAATTTCTAGCTTCTTGGTCCTAACACTGGGTTTTCAACATAGATTTTCTTTAATCCCGTATTTGTACTAACCCAACAACAATTAAAGCATACTAGGTGGCTGGTACATTGTTTAGAAAGGTTTTATGAGGGTTTGATGGTTTCTGGTGATACTGTTTTAATCCTTTAGATATATTTGCAGCATGCTAACTATCCACAGTGATTCAAGAAAAATTCAAACCTCTCAACTTGACTTCTTGCTATCTGTTTCTGCATTCTTTATGGGCTAGATTTCTATGTCTCTATTAGTTTCTTGATTGCTTCAGGTAGATTTAGAAGATTCTACTTGAAGGAAAGCCTTTCAAGGTACACTCATTTCAATTTATTTGTCCATGTGTTTTCTACAGAGATTTCTGAATTCTTCACATATCCAAATAGATCTATGATATTAAGAAATGTGGATATCCCCTCCTGCGATAGAGATCATCATTGATTCATGCCTGCCCATTCTCTTTGCCTCTTGTCCATGTCCTACTGGGGACAAAGGTTGTGGGGGAGAATTGTTTGTGAAGGGGTGCACCTAATGGACTGGAATCTTTTCTCCCTTTTGCCTGTCACCACAAGGATGCTAGTGGATCACTCAGGCCACCCATTCTTGCTACATGACCAGCCCAGATCCTCTTTCTATCATACATTTACTCATGATCTCCTTGGAAGTTGCTCGCTTGTTATGTGTCGCATCCTATTCATAACCACAATGTGCTTTTTTCATTATCCTCTGCATGAAACTTCTATTCAGTCCTTCGGAGACAGCTGTGTTCTGTGTCTCACAGCTATATAAGAACACTGGTAGAATACTGTTATTTTAAAAATGTGTCTTTGCTTCTGGGAGAAATTTGGGGTCATTAAATGAAGTTTATAATTTCCTGGAGACAATCCAGCCCTTTCTCCTCTTCTTCTTTAATTCTGGGCCTGACTTTTTGTTTGTTTATATTGTTTGTCTCAGATAAACAAACTGATGAACAAGCCTTGTAGTTTGTCTCTTCAACTGAATGCCATATTTTAGGCAATAGACATTCTTCATCTATTTGATTTTTCCTGTGTGGATGTTTAGGGCAGACTCTTGAGTGCTTGTGTATCTCTTCCATAATGTTTTGCAATGTTTCAGGCTTTGATGCAACCAGCATGAACTCAGTTACAAACAGGAGCATTTGGAAGACTAAGCCAACCATAGATAATCCCACTTCAATTTACATTCTTTATAGGATTTCCTCTATCACAGTAGGGAACACTTTTTGTAAGCATACATCTTTCTGTTTTATGCCTTGCCTGAAATATCTCTTGTTACCTTTCTTACCATGCTGCTTCACCACTAATCTGTCAACTTTGGTTAATTAGCCAGGTTACACTAGTAAATAAAAGTAAAAGCATTTAATGAAATAGCATGATATGGAAAATTGTAATAGCACATTTCCCCTACAAAACAGGAATACAGTATACCACAAATGTCTGCCCATTAGTGAAAAGAGGGAATGATACTAGTGACCAAGGCACATGTGAAAAAAGAGCAAAACTAATGCTTACTCCTGACATAGCAGGTCTTTAATGTCTTCTGGTGATATGCTCAGAGTGCTTCTGCTGAGTCTACACTTTATTGGCCTCATGTGACGAGACTCTGATAAGTATGAGTTGCTATGGAATAGTGAACCTTGTGGAGCCTGGTGGCTTTAGCTAGTGTCCTTAACTGAGATGCTACTACTTTCCCCATAATGAGAACATTGAATTCTATCATCTATATTTTGGCATAATATGCCCAGAAGCTTAAATTTCTTAAACGTGTAAAAGGGAGGTCTCACATATCTAGTCACCTAGAAAAATCCTTAGTTGCTTTTTCTCCCCAATAAGAAGATCCTGTTAGTCTTTGGAGCTTTGGCTATAAAAGAAAGTTCTTCTCCAAGAGCAGCTTCTTAGGTCTTAGCATCAAAACTCAAAAAAACAAAAACAAAAACAAAAAACCAGAATGGATAGCTATATAGATCCCAGAGACATAACATCTTTTTTTTTAACCTCAACTTCCTGTTTATCAGGATCTGTGTCCCTTTCTGGAGGTTCCATCTGACTTAGGGTTAGAAAGTCCTCACAAACTTCATAAATAATTTCTGATTGTTAAACTGAACCCATTAAGCAAATTTTAGGAACTCCCATTCCTACAAACCACTCAGGGCTCTACAAGTTCCAACAGCTCCAGTATTCTCAACTCTGAAATTTCTTTTCGGTCTCTACCACACAACTCTTCATCCTGAAGTCTCATTCTAGCCCTGAAATTAACACATTGGAAGGATCCTTCACCCCTGCAGTCTCTCCCTCTAATTGCTCATATAAGGGTCCTCCATGGGTCCTCAGGCCAACTATATGTCAATGCTTTCTAAGTTTCACTCCAGATCTTTCCTCACTCCTGCCTCTTTTCCATTTCCTTTTATGTATCTTCCCCTATTAGAAGACAAGCACCTACAGGGCAGGAAATACCTTTCTTTCCACTTGTACTTGTATTCCCAGCATTTAGTATAGTTCTTGGCACTTAGTAAGTGCTTAATAAATGATAGTTGACCAACTGATCCTAGTACAAATTAATAAAAGGGGGAAAAGTAAAGAATAAAGTACTTTACCTCAACTTTTTGTTCAAATTTCCTGCTTTTATTATGTATATATAGTTCAGAGAGCCTTAGAAACTAGCTTTGAAATATATACATATATTTTTCTATATATAAATGTATACATATATACATGTGTGTGTGGCATACACATCCATACTCAAAAAAGAGTACAAGCCAGATACTGAACTCCTTGACAAAGCAAGGAGACTTAGGATTTGGATAAGCTTGTGTCAATGGCATAAACTCAGAGAAGTATTAGCAACCATGATGGGAGGTCTGGAAGTGGTTGTAAGAAGCATGAAATCTGCTGATTCCTCCTGGGCCAATGTGCCAATAAAGCAAGAGAAAAGGAGCATTCAGTACTTCAGAAGGTAGCCAGGATGCAGGTTCTTCTTTGAGGGAGCCAGGTTTTCATGAGCACCAGAAGATGGGAAGAATATAAGAAGAATGAGTCTTGGATAAAGGGGAGTTGTTAAAAGGTGTGATGGAAGAACAGAGCAGAGAAGGATGGGGGTTAAGGATCTGAATAATGATACGTAGTATCAGTAGTAGCTGTGGAAGGAGGTTTTTGCCTCAGAAGAAGTGACTCCAAATCACAGATATTAAAGGGAGGAGGAGATGGGAGTTAGCTAGCTATGGCTGTGTTCCTACCCTGATAGTCATGTTAAGCTTACTCTCCATGCACTAGGGAGCAGCAAAGAGATTGGGTTGTGCAACTGAAAGGTTAAATATAATGGTGATGAGGCCCTCAAGACTAGATTGAAATCACCCTTGGCACCAGTTTGTTTACTGTATGCCAAGATGATGGGAGATGACATGCACCCTGAAGACACCCCACATTCAGAGCATTTGCTCAGCTCCTGGTCAAGGCTGACTTATGAGGTCCTGGGGTAAAAAGGTCTGGGATCCAGTCTTTTGATGTCTTGAGGTCTAAATTATGACTGTTTTTCTCAGTGGAGCAAGGCAGGACAGGGAGGTCTCTAGCTCTACCCTTTAGGAGGGGCTAGAATCAAGGAATGAAATTTCCAGGTCTAGTGGTGGCAAAGTAGGCACTTAAAGGCAGAGGCCTAGGTATCAGTAGTGGCTCTAATTACCCCCAATTTGGAAGTTCTGTGATTATGATGGGTTAAGGTACTATGGTTTATTCAGTTAGTGATGATGGGCACAGAGCAAAAAGGGTTCCAACTCCACTTGGCAGCCTGCCACTTACCTGGCTACTACCTATAAATGTCCTCAGTGGTAATGGAGAACTGAGGTGTGGTTATTTGTTCAGCAGGCTTGGTAACAAATGTGAAAACAGATTTACTGTCCATGCTTCTTTTAGAAATAAGAGACTTTTAATTAATTTTAAATTATTTATTTAAATTATTATTTAAATTTTCCTAATAAGAATATTTTGGACTAATCTTTCTTTACTATAGATTCCTAAACCATGTCCCATTCCCCTCTCTCTAGTCCAACCCAGGAACAGTCTTCCCTTAACTAATAAGTGTGGTGATTGGACAAGTGTAGGAAGCCCTTAACTGATCTCCTTTGACTAGATTACTTTGACCAGATTAACAGATTCAGAATTAGTCTAAATAATCATCAGACTAAAAGAAGGAAGAAATCTCTCTGATTCTTTCAGGTTCTGATTACTTCATCTTTTGAGTTCACCTTTGATCAATTCTTTGTCTTCCACCATGATTCTTCTCAATCATAATGTAGGTAAAGATGATTATTTTCTTGTAAATCCCAAGACCTAATTCTCTAGCATTCCTAATTCTCTGGCATAGATGGCATTTAAAAGCACTTCAAGATCTGCAAAGTGCTTCACATACCTAACTTCATTAGATTTTCACAATAAGCCTGTAAAATAAATGCTATTATTATTTTCATTTTACATACAAAGAAATGGACTGAGATGAGTGCAGAGATTTGGCCAGCATTACACAGCAGGATTGGACCCACGTTTTCCTGGCTCCAACTCCAACACCATCCACTACATCATACTGCCTCTATCCATTAGGAGTGAGAATAAATATTCTCAGCTTTAGATGGCAGAGAGCCTATTGCAAGCTGAGCCTTGAAGATCTGATATTTTAGCCATCTGTATTCCAGCAGCTTTCTGAATTGGAAGGCCCCTAATTCTAAATTCCATTCTCTGAAGGGTCCATGATGTCTAAAGAATCCAACATTTAGAGGCTGAACCAGAGACATCTTTCATGACCAGTGCAAGTTTTCCTAACTTTTCCAGGGCTTGATGGTGCAAACCAGGCCATTCTTGGGCTTCAGTGTTACAGAATCCACTATTCCAAAGCTATGTCCTGGGACCATCTGAATCTCCAGCCTCTGAAACAGTTTGGCCATCATCACTTTTGCGTTCATCTGTACTCAAAAGAAAACCAATGGGTCAATAACATAGCTGTTAAAGTTGCTACCCAGAAATCTGTCATGGTGGGAAAGACTCACAAGACTCCCTATAAGCATCAGGCTAGGGAAAGAAGGGTCCAATTATCACTTATTCTCCTTCTTCCCCAACTATGACCATGAAAATCCCTCCCTTTCTCTAAGACTCATGAAACCCTCTCTAATCTCCTCAAGGGAAGTGATACCAACCCTCTCACATCTTTCCTGGCATGTTCTTTGTACTTTTCACTTGAGGCAGTTGGTAACAGAGTGTTTAGAGTAGTGGGTGGGGAGGGGGGAGGCCTAGAATCAAGAAGACTAGAGTTCATATCTAGCCTCAGTCATTTTAAACTTAACATAATGATGATAGCTAGACTTTACGTAGTGCTGTAAGATTTGTGAGACACTTTGCAAATATGATCTCATTAGATTCCCACAACAGCCCAGGGAGGTAGGTGCTACTATTGTTATTGCCATTTTACAGTTGAGGAAACTGAGGCATCAGAAGTTAAATGATATGCCCAGGGTCACACAGCTAGTAAATGTCTGAAGCTGAATTTGAACTCAGGTCTTCCTAACTCCAGGTCCAGAATTCTATTCATTATACTACATAGATGCCTAACTGTTTTGGAGATAAGGTGGTAAATGACAGTCATTTGTTACCTGTGAAAAGTATTGTCCAATGCAGGATCTTGGCCCCAAAGAAAATGGAAAGTAGGTAAAATTAGGCCTGTAAAAGGAAAAGATGGTTAACCACACAATTGATAGCAGAGACCTCCCAGAACTAGTTCTGAAAACAGCAGGGTGAAAAACCTGAAGCTTAGGACAATGCCCCCTCTACCTCAGGAACAGAGCCCAACTTTAACATAATGTTCCAGATCAAGAATATAGGGTGAAAAATGAACAAACAAACAACAACAACAACAATAAACCTGACCATAAAAATCTACTGTGATGACAGGGAAGATCAAGACACAAACTCAGAAGACAATGAAGTCAAAACAGCTACAAGCAAAGCCTCAAGGAAAAAATGGGAATTGTTTAAAAGCCCAACAAGAATTCCTGAAAGAGCTCAAAAAGGATCTTAAAAATCAAATAACAGTGGTAGAAGAAAAATTGGGTAAAGAAATGAAAACAAAGGAAGAAAACTATGGAAAGAGAAGTGATAGCTTAATAAAAGAGGCACTTAAAATACTGAAGAAAATAATACCTTAAAAAACAGAGTTGGCCAAATGAAAAAGAGGTATAAAAATTCACTGATAAAAATAATTTTCCTCTAAGTACTGCTTTGGCTGCATCCCACAAATTTTGGAATGTTGACTCATTTGTCATTCTCTTTAATGAAATTATTGATTGTTTCTATAATTTGTTCTTTGACCCACTCATTCATTAGGATTGGATTAGTTTCCAATTAGCTTTTAATCTATGCTTCCACGACTCTTTATTAAATCTAATTTTTATTGCATTATGATCTAAAAGGGTGTATTTAATATTTCTGCTTTTCTGCATTTGTTTGTGAGGTTTTTATACTTTAATACATGGTCAGTATCTGTGAAGGTGCCACATACAGATGAAAAAAAGTATACTCCTTTCTCTTCCCATTCAATTTTCTCCAGAGGTTTATCATTTCTAACTTTTCTAAAATTCTATTCATCTCCTTCACTTCTTTCTTGTTTAATTTAGAGTTAGATTTATCTAGCTCTGAGAGGGTAAATTGAGGTCCCTCACTAGTATACTTTTGCCGTCTATTTCCTCTTGTAATTCATTTAACTTTTCATTTAAGAATTTGGATGCTATGCCATTTGGTGCATATATGCTTAGTACTGATATTACTTGTCTATAGTTCTTTTTAGCAAGATGTAGTTTTCCTGCTTATCCCTTTTAATTAGATTTATTTTTGCTTTTGCTTTGTCTGAAATCATGATTGCTATCCCAGTCTTTTTTACTTCAGCTGAAACATAGTAGATTCTGCTCTGGTCCCTTATTTTAACTCTGTGTGTGTTTCTCTGTTTCAAATATGTTTCTTATCAACAACATATTGTTAAATTCTGGTTTCTAATCCATTCTGCTATCTGCTTTTATTATATGGGTGAGTTTATTCCATTCCCATTCCTAGTTATGATTACTAACTGTGTATTTCCCTCTATCCTATTTTCTACTATTCATCCTTCTCTCTATCTTTTCCCTCTTTTAAAAAATGTTTTGCTTCTGACCAATCCCTTCTTTTACCTGCCCTCTTTTTTAATCACACACCCTTCTCCCACTTCTCTTATCCCTCTCTCATGCTACTTCTCTGTTGGGTAAAATAAATTTCTATTAACAATTGAATATGTGTGTTCCAGCAGTTCCAGATTTCAAACTATATTACAAAGCAGTAAACATCAAAACAATCTGGTACTGGCTAAGAAATAGAGACATAGTGGATAGTGGAATAAATTAGGTATACAATACACAGTAGTATTTGACCATAGTAATCTAGTATTTGATAAACGGAAAAATCCTTTGTTTGTTGTTGTTGTTCATTCTTTGTTTCAGAGGACCAGTGACATCACAGAGTGATGTCTTGACTTGCATGTAAATTGGATTCAAGTGAGGCAGCCTCACTTTCTCTTCCAGAATCACTGAAGTCCATTGTCAGACAACAGTCTGACTAGCAATGGCCCAGGACACAGTGGATGACCTTGGCATTTTCGATGTCCGACCAAGCTCCAAGCACTCCATGGCACCTGCTTCAGCTGCCTTCTTGGCCAGTGGTTCTTATCTACTCATTCCACCACAGAAAATCTTCACATGCTTGGGAAGACATCCCCTTAACTCACCAATGAGTTTGAGGCCTATCCATTATCCTCAACCTGGTTTAGCCTGTCTGCTGAAATGTTTTGCCAGGGTGTGGCTGCTGCACATGCTACAGCTTCTTGGAGCTACAGGTGAGAGTTGAGTGAAAGTTGGACACCAATGGTAGATGAGCAGCTCTGAAAATGTTGCTATTCCTCCTGGGAGACCCTATACACCACAAAAGGTCCATGCTTTTGGGGTAAGAACTCAACATTTGACAAAAATTGCTGGGAAAACTGGAAAGCATTTTGGCAGAAACTAGGCATAGACCAAGAGGCAGCTAGATAGATGGTTCAGTGGATAGAGCACTAGAACTAGAGTCAAAAAGAGCTGAGTTCAAATCTGTCCTCAGACACTTACTAGCTGTGTGACCCTGGGCAAGTTACTTAATCTCTGTTTGCCTTAATCTACCAGAGAAGGAAATGGCAAACCACTCTAGTATCTTTGCAAAGAAAACCCCACAGACAATATGGTCCATGGGGTCAGGAAAAGTCAGACAACTGAACAACAATAGGCATAGACAAATATCTCACACCATATACCAAGATAAGGTAGAAATGGATAAATAATTTAGACACAAAGAGTGATATAAGTAAATTAGGGGACCATGGAACAATGTACCTGTCAGAGCTATGGATAAAGGAAGAGTTTATGGCAAAACAAGAGATGGAAGAGATTAGAGGAAGTAAAACAGAAAAGTTAAAATTTAAAAGCTTTTGAACAAACAAAACTAATGCAACCAAAATTAGAAGGAAACAGGAAACTGGGTAAAAAATTTTGTAACAAGTTTCTCTGATAAAGGTCTCATTTCTCAAATATATAGGGAACTGAGCCAAATATATAAAAATAAGAGTCACTCCCTGATTGATAAATGGCCAAAGCAGTTTTCAAACAAAAAAATGAAAGCTATCAATAGTCACATAAAAAAGGCTCTAAATCACTACTTATTAGAGAAATGCAAATTAAAACAACTGTGAAATACCACCTCATACTTATCAGATTGGTGAATATGATACACAAATGACAAATATTGGAGAGGATGTGGAAAAATTGAGATGCTAATACACTGTTAGTGGAGTTGTGAACTAGTCTAATCATTCTGGAGAACAATTTGAAATTACACCTAAAGGGCTATAAAACTGTGCATACCCTTTGACCCAGCAATACTATTACTAGGCCTGTATCCCAAAGAGATCAAAGAAAAGGAGAAAGAACCTATTTGTAGAAAAATATTTATAGCAGCTCTTTTTTGTGGTGGCCAAGAATTAGAAAGGGGATGCCCATCAACTGGGGAATGGCTGAACAAGTAATGGTATATGATTGTGATGGGACACTGTTATAAGAAATGATGAACAGGATGACTTTGAAAAACCTGGGAAGATTTATATGAACTCAGAAGAACCTGTAGAACATTGTACACAGTAATAGCAATATTGTAAAGATGATAAATTGGGAAAGACTTAGCTACTCTGATCAAGATAATGATTCAAGACAATTACACAGGATCCATGATGAAAAATGCTATCCACCTCCAAAGAGAGAATGGATCAACTCTGAATGCAGATTGAAGCTTATTTTTTTTTTACTTTCTTTATTTTTATTGTTTTATTTTGTCTATGTTTCCTTTTTCAACGTGGCTAACATGAAAATATGTTTGGCATGACCTCATATGTATAATCAAAATCAAAGCATTTACCTTCTCAAAGAGGGGGAGGGACTAACAGGAGAGAGAGAATTTGAAACTTAAAAAAATTTTAAATGATTGTTAATATTTTTACATGTAATTGGGAAATATTTAACAAAATAAATAAAAATAAATTTGTAAAAGTTGCAAGAGACCTAATTACTTTTAAATGTCAATCAATAAATACTTATTAAGTGCCTACTATGTGCAAGACACTGTTAAATACAAAGGATGCAAAAATGGCAAAAGACAGTGCCTGCCCTCAAGAAGGCTACAATTTAATGTTATAATTAACAAATATAATAAAATTTTCTCAATCTTTATCCTTCTTGATTTTTCTGCAGTATTTGTCACTACTAACCAAACTTTCTTCCTAGATACTCTTTTTTTGAGTTTTCATGATATTGGTCTTTCTTAGTCCTCCCTCTGCTTGCTGCTTCTTCTCAGTTTCCTTCTCTGAATCATCATCCAGAGGTACCCTAACTGTGGGTACAACCTAGGGCTTTAACCTAGACCCACTTTTCTTCTACATATTTATGGAAATGTATGTACATATGTATGTATGTATGTATGTATGTGGGTGTGTGCTTTCTTTTGTGACCTAATCAGCTTCCAAGGGTTATAGTATCATCTCTTTTCCTTATGATTCCCACATCTCTGTATTTCACCTCTAGTCTCACTCCTGAGTTTCAGCTCACATTATGAACTGCTTATTAAACATTTCCAACTAGATGTCTGGATGTAGACATCTCAAATTCGACTTATCCAAAACAAAACTCATTATTTCCCACCCATACCAACACCTATTTTTCCAGTCACCTGAAAACTTGAGTTCAAAACCTCAGTGCCATTTGTGACTTCTCACTCTCCTTCACTCCCTACAACCAGCCAATTGCCAAGTCTTCCCAATTGTACCTTCACAACATCTCATACATCTGTCCTCTTCTTTTCTAATACATTCAAACCCTCATCATCTCTTATATGAACTATTAAAAATAGCCTCCTAATTGACATCCTTGCCTCAAGTCTCTCCCCTAATACATCCTAACATACCTGTCAAATAATATTCCTAGATAAGTCTAACCATGTCACTCTCATGCTCAATTAACTCCAGTGACTCCCTATTACTTCTAGGACTACATACATACTTTTCTGTTCAGTATTTAAAGCCCTTCACATGAATGGGGTAAACCTAAGCATTTTTGTAGGCATTGATGAAGAAATTAGGAGAAAAAGAAAAGCTAAATATTTTAGAGAGAGAAAGAGAGAGAGAGAGAGAGAAATTGAGAGAGTGAATTATCACAGGGACAAATTCTAGGAGGATATGGGAAGACATAGGATAGAGGGCATGGGTAGGGGTTTGTTCCTTGGCATGGAAAAAAGCCATATCATCCTTTGAGACTGGAGCAAAGGAGGGGAGGAATAGGTTAAGGTCTTTCTTTTCCTTCCCTCTTTCCTTTTCCTTTCTATTTATTTTCTCATTCCACCCCTTACCCCCACCCCAAAAGAAAATAAGAAAAAGAAAAAGAAGACTTCATAGAAGAAGGGACACTTCAGCTGAGCAGGCAAAGATTGGAGAGGATCTCATTACAGAAGTGAAGAGAATGTAGAGGAGTCAGGAGAAGATGGAAGGATGGAGAGTAGTACAGTTTGGCTGAACATGCAGTGCATTGAAGGAGATAAGACTAGAAATCCAATAATCTGAAATTCAATTACAATGGCTTTCCAAGTTGCACAAAAATTTGCTTTGTATCATGTCACAGCCCAATCACTATTAGGTAAGAGCCATATGAAATCATTCCTTCTTTCAGAAGGATTTCTTCTTTGAATAATTTTAAAATGGACTTACTGGAAAGCTTCGGGACTGAACCGGTCTGGATTGAAAGTCAAGGGATCTTCAAAGTATTTCTCCATCCTGCCCATTACATAGGTACTGAACTGTTGACAAAGCAAGCAGTCTCTGTTATTTCTTATTCACAGAAACCCACAGCCCAGCTACGATGAAATCACCATTTGAACAAAAACTTCCCCCAATGGACCCCAGCATAGTCAAATGATAGGCCAGATCTTAAATGGGGCCTGATGTCTCTCTCTGAACAAAAATCTCTTTAGGCGCTGGGAAACATGGGTTAATGTCCCTAAGAGGAGCTAGAAAGCCATTAACTAGAACTTGGAAATCGATTCATTTTCCAAAGCTCCCCTCTCTAGCAAGGACTTGCTGTTGTTATTGTTTAGTCATGTCTGGGGTTTTCTTGGTAAAGACACTGGTGTGGTAGGCCATTTCCTTCCAGATCATTTTTTCAAATGAAGAAATGGAGGCAAACAGGGTAAATGACTTGCCCAGGGTCATACAGTTAGTAAGTGTCTGAGGCTGGATTTGAACTCAGGTCTTCCTGACTCCAAGCCTGGCACTGTATCCGCTGTGCCACCTAGCTGCCCAGCAAAGACCCGCTTTGGAATAATTTTAGCAAGTGTGCGACTCACTCTCCTTCACTCCCTACAACCAACCAATTGCCAAGTCTTCCCAATTGTACCTTCACAACATCTCATACATCTGTCCTCTTCTTTTCTAATACATTCAAACCCTCATCATCTCTTATATGAACTATTAAAAATAGCCTCCTAATTGACATCCTTGCCTCAAGTCTCTCCCCTAATACATCCTAACATACCTGTCAAATAATATTCCTAGATAAGTCTAACCATGTCACTCTCATGCTCAATTAACTCCAGTGACTCCCTATTACTTCTAGGACTACATACATACTTTTCTGTTCAGTATTTAAAGCCCTTCACATGAATGGGGTAAACCTAAGCATTTTTGTAGGCATTGATGAAGAGGAGGGGGAAAGGAGCACCCCATTGCCTAGCGGCTAGTCACACTGACTGAAGGTTCTTCCAGTAGACATTCATTACTTCAGGTTAAGGCTCAATGGATTGATCAATAATAGATCAATCATAGAACCATAGAATGTCAAAGCTGAAAGGGGCTTTAGAATCACTGAATGAATGTCAGAACTGGAAAGAATCTTGGAGGTCATTGTGGTTTAGTGGAAAGAGTTCTGACTCTAGAATCAGAGGATCTGGGTTCAAATCCCTCCCCTGACATGCACTACCCATATGACTTTGGATGAGGTGCTTAATCTCTCTTTTCCTCAATTCTAAAGTCCCTTCCAGCTCTAAATCTATGATTTTGGGTCCTAGGCAGGTAGGGGCAGCCAGGATTGAGTCACTGGTCCTTTGAGGGTGAGGCAAGGTCATCAAAGGAGTGCTGACACTCTATGTGGTATATGAGAAGTAATGCCACAGAAAGAGTATCAATCTAGAAGTCAATATCCCAGCTTTGCTTTGTCCATTACTTAACCTTGAATGGGTTATTTCTCTTCTCTTGGCCTCAGTTTCCTTATCTGTAAAATGAAAAAGCTGAACCAGATATTCTCCAAGGTTCCTTCAAGCTCACATATTCTGTGTTCTAGAATTGTAGGGTCCCTTCCCCCTCTGACTGTTCTCTGGAAGGTGCCATATAAATGTGAGACAGGGTCATTTCTAAAAAGAGAGGTAAGACGGCATAGAAAATCAATTTGACTTTCTCCTCGCCACTCCAAATTCACCCTGGTCACAGTGGTATCTGATCTGTATATTACTTTTTAAAGGTGAGCCTTGGAGAAGTGCAGAGCCCCAAGGAGACTCCTATTTCCCGAGGAAGTATCAGGACCCAGGACTTAGAGGGAGGTGCCGACACTTTGGAAATCTGATACTTTCTTTCCCTTTCATCACTACCACTCTGACACAAATTTTCTCCATTGTCAAGCTTACCCTGACAGCCAGTTATGAAAAGAAAGACGTACAAGTAACGAGGTGCAACCTGGAATGAGAATGCCATCAACCACAGTGTCCTTCTCCAGCCACCGTGTGGTTCCAAAGGCAGGAGGATATAACCTGAGAATTTCTTTGAGAACCTAGAGAAATACATTAGGAGGGCAATTAGTCCTCTATTCAGAAAAACACAGACAAAAAGGAAACAAAGAATGTAATTTTGAGTCTCCTCTCCCTCAACTTTCATATCAAAGCAGTTGCCAAGTTCTGTCTTTTCTATTTCTATAACCTCTTTCTCATATAGCACACTGCACTTGGAGTCAAGAAGTCCTGTGTTTGAATCTTGACCCAGACACTTACTTACTGTATGATCTTGGACAAGACATTGAACCTCTCTGGGTCTCAGTTTCCTCACTTGTAAAATAAGGAAGTTGAACTTACTGACTTTAAAGTTCCATTTTAGGTCTAAATTTCTTGTCCTATGATCCTCTTCTCTAATGCCATTGGACATCAGTCTAGCAGCCTAATTATCCCTATCTGAACAATTTTAACAACCTCCTAACCAGCCCATCCTGCTTCCATCCTCTGCCTCTTCCAAATCATCCATCACACACTGCCAGTCTCATCTTCCTTATTCATGAAAACAGTTTCAGACTTGCCCATAGTCACATTGCTAGCAAATGAAAGAGTTAGAAGTAAATAATTTTTTTCAGTATATCACACTTCCTCATGGTATTTTGTTGTTTTTGTTCAGTAGTTTAGTCATATCCAACTCTTTGTGACCCCATTTGGGGTTTTCTCAGCAAAGATATTGAAGTGGTTTGCTTTTTCCTTCTCCAGCTCATTTTACAGGTAAGGAAACTGAGGCCAACAGGGTTAAATTGACTTGCCCAGGGTCACACAGCTAGCAAGTGTGTGAGGCAAGATTTGAACTCAGGGAGATGAGTCTTCCTGACTCCAGGCCCAGCACTCTATGCACTACGGCGCCACCTACCTGCCCCTGTCATGATGCTACGGCTATCAATTTTTGTGTCATCCCCTCCTACTAGACTATATGTTCCATAAGGACAGGATTCACTCCATGTTATCATACAGCTAAAAGAGATCTGGCCCAATTAAGGACACTTGTTTCAAATCTTGGCAAACAAATGACTAATTTTATGACTAATTCCATAGGACTGCTGATTTAGAGATGGGATCTTTTAGTTCATTTAGTCCATTTAGTTCAAGTTCCTCATTTTACAGAGAAGGAAGCTGAAGCTTGAAGAGATTAATTGATTTGCCCAAGGTCATATAGGTAATGAGTCTTCCCCCCCCCCCCCGCCACCCTCCTCTCTTCCTAACTCTCCTGTTACTGTCAAGGGTACCACCATTCCCCCAGCCATCCAGGCTTGAAACCAAGGTGTTCTCTCTCAACCCACAGATCCAATCAGTTGCCAAATCCTATTGATTCTACCTTCAGAACTTCTCTTGCAAGTCACAATGTCCTTTTTCTCCTGCTGCTGCAGCCACCCTGGTACAGGCTCTTCTCACTTCACACCTGGACTATTTTAAAGTCTTTTTAGTAGGTCTCTGCCTCAACTTTCTCCCTATTCTAGTCTATCCTCCCTTCAGCTGTCAAATTAATCTTCCAAAAGTGCAGGATTGATCATGTCACCTTCCTATTAAAAAAAATTCCATGACTTCCAATTACCTCTAGAATCAAAAATAAAATCCTCTGTTTGGCTTTTTTAGCCCTTCATAATCTGGACCCTTCTGCCTTTCCAGTTTTCTTCCTTCTAGCACACTTGGAAAAGGCAAGAACGTTCTCATCAGCTAAGGTCTCAGATCAAGGCAGAAGCCCCTTACATTCCAGCTCTAATGCTGAGTCAGAAGTACAACACCCAAGTTTTTGCATCCCTGTGTAGGTTTCTGTACCTGTGAGAGGTACTGCAACCTTCCAAGGTCTTGATATTCAATGATTTTTTTGGAACCAATAACTTCATTCACCTCAGCACGAAGCCTATTGGAAAAATCAAAAAGGAAGAATAAGAAACTGTTCTCCTAGAAGAAGTTTTTCCACATTCAGTTAGATTCTAATACTACCAAGGAGGCTAATAGATGGGGTTTCCTATTCAAGATGTACAAGGCCTGGCAGCCTCTGAGGTTCAGCCCCTCTTGGAGATTCTCTATATCTGCTCATCATATGATATGGTATTCAGTCCTCTCACTATCCTGTTCACCCTTCCTCTGGTGAGAAGACTCAAATCCTCATCTTAAAGGGTGATTAGAGGAGCTGGAGATGTTTAGCCTGAAGAGAACGATCTGCAATGATAGTGTCAGAGTGGGAAAAAAGAGGAGAAAGAGATATATCAGGAAAAGTAGGTGATGAAAAATACAAAAGACACCAATAAAAACTTTTAAATGATCTTTAAAAATTCTTTTATAAAAAAGGGAAAAGGACCTATATATACAAAAATATTTATAGCAGCTCTTTTTGTTGTAGCAAAGAAGTGAAAATTAAAGGGATACTCTTCAAGTGGGGAATGGCTGAACAAGGTATGGTATATGATTGTAATGGAATATTATAGTGCCATAAGAAATGATGAGCAGGATCCTTCCAGAAAACTTGAAAGGATTTACATGAACTGATGCAAAGTGAAGTGAGCAGAACCAGGAGAACATTGCCCACAGTAACAGCAATATTGTACGATGAACAACTGTGAGTGACTTCTTCTTATCAATACAATGATCCAAGACAATTTCAATCCATGAAAAATGCTATCCACCTCCAGAGAAAAAGCTGATGTAGATCAAATCATAATTTTTTCATGTTCTTTATTTTTTGTGAAGTTTTTAGGTCTGTGTTTTCTTTTACAACATGACTAATATGGAAATATGTTTAGCATGATTGCACATGTATAACCTATATCAAATTGTTTACCATCTCAGAGAGGGAGAGGAGAGAATTTGGAACTTAAAATTTTAAAAAACAGACCCTAAAAATTATTTTTATATGCAATTGAGAAAAAGAATATATTATTTTTAAAATTTTTGATAGAAATAACTATAGATAACTTTGTTCAATGATTATTTATCAATCAAGATGTGAAATGGGGAGATACAGGCTTGCTCAAGATATTTACTTCTGTCATGGAGGATACTCTGGGCAGAATCCATCCCGATCAATCAATCAATCAATGCATTTATGTGCCACATACTATGCTAAGTGGCAGCTGAATGGCTCAGTGGATAGAGCAACCCTGGCCGAGTCATTTAACCTCTGTTTGCCTTGGAGGCAGCTAGGTGGCTCAGTGGATAAGGCACTGGGCCTTGAGTCAGGAAGATATGAGTGAAAATCCAGCCTCAGACACGAGTGACCATAGCCAAGTCACTTAACCTCTATTTGCCTTAATCCACTGGAGAAGGAAATAGCAAACCATTGCAGTATCTTTGCTGAGAAAACCGCATGTACAGTATTGGTGTGCTATGGTCCACAGGGTGATGAAGAGTTAGACAGGACTGAATGACAACAAACTGAGCTAAGAGCTAAAGTGCAAAGAAAAAAAGCAAAATAGTCATTGCCCTCAAGAAGCTTACACTCTAACGAGGGAGATAACATATAAATAGGTAGGTATACACACGAGACATATGCAAATTAAATAAAAGGTAACTTTGGAGGGAAGGCAATAGCTTTCGGAAAGAAGGAAACAAGCATTTATTTAGTGCCTACTATGTAACAGGAGGGCAGCTAGGTGGCCTGGTTAATAGAGCACTGGGCTTGGAACCAGAGGGACTCATCTTCATGAGTTCAAATCTAGCCTCAGACACATAACAGTCACTAGCTGTGTGACCCTGGGCAAGTCACTTAACCCTATTTGCCTCAGTTCCTCATTTGTAAAATGATCTGGAGAAGGAAATGGCAAACCACTCCAGCATCTGTGCCAAAAAAAACAAACAAACACAAACATACACACACACATACACACAAACAGGGTCACGGAAAGTTAGACACAACTGATAAATAACAATAACAACAACAATGTGCCAGGAACTGTGCTAAGTGATTTGCAAATACCACCTCATGGTTTGATCCTAACAACCCTGGAAGAGAGGTGCTGTTATTATCTATCCTGGCATAAAGAGAGGAAATGGAGGGCCATGTGTGAAGAGGAGAAAAAGGAGGACCCGTAGTGAGACTACAGAGACCATGCAGGAGAGTAACATGCAAGAAGACTGGAAAGGTAGCACGGGGCCAGGCTGTAAAAGTTTTAAATGCCAGAGAAGTTTTTATTTGATCTTAGATATAATCGTGAGTCATCCAAGCTCCCTGAGTTAAAGAGTGACACGGTCAGAACTTTGCTCTTGGAGAATCATTTAGTGATGGCCTCAGTACAGATTAAGTCATATGTGTGTATATGTGTAACATATACACACATACACATATATACATATATAAATACATGTTTGTCACAGGGTTTTTTTTTGGTTTGTTTGTTTCCTAATTTAGGGGATTGGAGGTGGGAAAGAGAGAATGCAGATTTGAAAAGAAGATAAAATGTAATTTAAAAAAGAAAAACCACCTTGGCAGTTGAGTGGATGGCTCAATGGAAAGACAAGAGACAAGGCAGAAATACCAAAGATGAAGCTATTAACAACTGCCCAGGTGATAAGTGCCTGAACCAGTGTGGTGGTGTGAAGGTCAAGAAGGGGGTAGAGCAGCTAGTTGGTGAAGTGGATAGAGCTCCAGCCTTGGAGTCAGGAGGACGTGAGTTCAAATCCGACCTCAGACACTTGACACTTACTAGCTGTGTGACCCTGGGCAAGTCACTTAACCCTGATTGCCTCATCAAAAAAAAGGGAGGGATGAATCTGAGTGATGATGTGGGGGTAGAAATGAAAGAATTTGGTAGGGCATGAGAAGTCAAAGATAATATTAAGCTTTTAAACCTGAGTCATTGGATGACTCTTGGAAAAAAACAGGGAAGCTTTGAAGAGGAGTGAGTTTAGGGAGACAAACAGCAAGTTGGTTTCTCCTTGGCCAGTTTGAGATGCCTGTGGGATCTCCAATACATCTAACTTTAACAGATACTACTGAAAGGCAATCTACTGGGTCTAGAACTGAAAAGGAGGGGAAGAATGAGCTGAAGTGGATTTGTGAAAGTATATACACTTGAATAATTTCTAGCTGCTCGTCAATACGGAAACACTCTCTGAAGAACCAAAATTGTGGGCAACCTAAAGGTGATCACGAGATGTATGGTGGGAGCAAGTGGGCTATATAGCATGTTACCAGTGATGCTTGGGCACAAGAGGTGGAAGAAAATATGCAACATAAGAGAGGTATCATAGTATAAGGAAATGCACCAGTCATTTAGGGAGAGCAAGAGATAATAGATGAAAGTCTGAGTACTGCATTAGTACTCAAAGAATGTTAAATTATCTAGAGGAAGGTCCTTAGCATGCTGACTAGATCCTTTAAGGAAGACTTTTGGGAAGACATGAACAGCAACTGTACAGAATAGGAAAGTATGCACATCTTTGCAATCTATGCCATCAAAGGGAGGACCCCACATTGATGAAGTCTTGGATGTATTAAGGAACTAAAGTGTAAGTTATATGGAAGAGGGAGTGGACATATTGTCCTTGGGCACAGGGGGAAGAAGTAGGACCAGTGAAGTGGAGGTGAGGGGGGAGAATGGGGAGATTTACAAAGAAGCAGATTTCAGCTCCATATATGAGAAAACTTCCTAGTAATCAAAGCTATCTAAAAATGGAAAGGGCTGTACTGGGAAGTAGAAATCATAAGATCATAGATTTAGAGCTGAAAGAGTCCTAAGACGCTATCTAGCCTAATCCTCTCATTGGAAACTGAGGCCAAGAGAGGTTAAATGCCCAAGATCATAAAGAGTAAGTCTCATAAAATAGGTCTGGAACCCAGGTTGGAAAAAAAGGGTAGCTTCCTTGTTATCAATGATTACCTGCCACAATCCTCTCTCCCAATCTCCTACCCCATTCCAAACCCCACAAAAAAACCAAGCTATCCATAACTTTTCCCAGTTATTTGGTGGTATCTTTCTCTTGTTCAAAACTGATGCTGCCTCAGTGAGTTCAAAATCATGTGACCTTGTGCATGGATCACTTGATCTAGTTCAGTCGCTTTTCCATATTCATTTTCTTATGTGCCATTTTCACTCTCTCATCAAGAGCTGTTGTTGTTCAGTTGTTTAAGTCATGCCAGACTCTTCATGACCCTATTTGGAGTTTTCTTGGCAAAGATACTAGAGTGGTTTGCCATTTCATTCTCCAGCTTATTTTACAGGTGAGGAAATTAAGGCACTCAGGTTAAGTGATTTGCCCAGGGTCACACAGTTAGTAAGTGTCTGAAGTTGGATTTGAACTCAGGTACTCCTGACTCCAGGCCTGGCACTCTATGCACTATGCCACTTAGATGGCCCCATCAAGAGCTGCTCAGGGGGTGGCCAAGTGGTACAGTGGATAGAGCACAGGCCCTGGAGTCAGAGAACCTGAGTTCAAACCTGGCCTCAGACATGTGATTCTAGCTGTGCGATCCTGGGCAAGTCACTTAACCCTGATTGCCTCACCAAAAAAAAAAAAAAAAAAAGCTGCTCAGTACTAATTTCAACAGCTCAACAAATTAGAGGAATCATAGAGTCCATACTTCATATATATCATATAACACAGAATCTTTGCCTAGGAATTCTTCAGCAGTAAGTTAATATCCTAGGTAGATAATGCTCAAGAGATACCAAACTCAAATGCCTATGACTCACCGTTCTATTATTTTTGGATATCGTTGCAGTTCCATTAATGCAAGTAATACCTGACTAGAAGTAGTGTCAAATCCTGCAACAGCAACAACAAAATGGTGAAAGTAATAAGAAATAGGTAGCATTTATATAGTGCCTTATGGTTTGCAAAGCACCTTACAAATATTGTCTCATTTGATCCTCACAGCAACCCTGGGAGGTAGATGCTATTATTATCATTGCTATTTTACAGATCAGGAAACTGAGGCTGAGAGCAGTTAAGTGACTTGCCCAGGGTAACACAGGCAGTAAGTGTTTATGGTGGGACTTGATTCAGGACTTCCTGGCTTGAGAGGCAATGCTCTATCTACTGCACCACCTCGCTGCCCAATATCTCTCACATATTGTTGAGGCATCGAAGTCACTGATACATACCAGTAAGCACTATGAGCACAAGAACTAGGTCCAAATTATCTACTAAAGTATCTCCCTCATCCCCCACCACAAAGCAGGCATTTAATAAATTCTGGTTGAATTAATGAAATGAATTTTAGAGCTAAACAAATCTTACCACTGAATTTAGAATACTACAGCTTGAAGTGCATTTAGATCGCAAAACCATAGACTATCAGAATAAGAAAGACCCCTAGAATCACTCAATCATGTAATGTTAGAGCTGGAATTGTCCTAGCATCATAGAATCACAGAATGTTCAGTTTGGGAGAGAGCTGAGAGGGCAACTCATCCAAAATCCTCACTTGCCTCTGACTACTGACATCCCTGGGCTCCTTTAAGTCCCAACTAAAATTCCACCTTCTACAGGAAGCCTTCCCTAACCCTCTTAACTCCTGTGCCTTTCCCTTAGCAACTATTTCCTCCTTATTCTGTATGTAACTTGCTTTGTAATAGATTTGTTTGCATGTTGTCTCCTCCATTAGATTGCAAGCTCTTTGAGGGTAGGGACTGTCTTTTGCCTCTTTTTGTATCCTTTGCACTCAGCACAGTGCCTGACACATAGTAGGTGTTTAATAAATGTTTATTGCTTCATTGATTTCATGGAGGAAACTGAGGCCCAGAGAAGAGAAACGACTCACATAAGAACATACAAGTAATCATAGCCGAGCCAAGACTGGAGCCTAGATCTGACAGGTGGTGCACTGCTCATCCATTCAACAAATAATTATTGAGTCAGGCTCTGTGATGCTGGGCTCATCACTTCTCCTTACTTTTCCTCATCTGTAAAATGAGGGATTTAAACTAATCACTGAATTCCTTTCTAGTCCTAACTGTTATGAATCTATGAAAACTATGAACTACAATATAATGGAGGCAGCCTGGTGTTGTGGATCAACACTGGATTCAGAATTGGAGGACCTGAGTTCAGTTTGCTAACTTGTTAGTTACTGGTAGTGCAGCCATGGGCAAGTCATTTAACCTGAGCCTCAGTGTCTGCATCAGTAAAATGGGAATGATGATACTCACACTATTTAACCCCTTAAATTCATCATGCAGTTGAAATGAGATCATGTGTATAAAATATTATATAAATCACAAAGCACTAGACAATCATGAGATCACATAACTACTATGATGATTAAAGTTTCATGACCCTGAAAGCTTGTTTATATTATTAATTTGATTCTTAGATAGCATAAATCTCATCTTCAGTTCACCCTCTCTTAATCACCAAAAATTCCTGATAGGTAAAACCTAACTTAGGAGGGCTCACCTATATTAGAAAAGTAAAATGGAAAGTCATTCATTAAAATTATAACCTAATATCTTGACTTGTATATAGTAGGAAATATTGGGCTGAGTCAGGACACCTGGATTTGAATCTCTGCTCTAACAATAAATTGCTAAGAGGCCTAGGATGAGTCATTTCCCCTTCTCCAGTCCACAGTTTCCTCATCTTGAAAATGAGGAGGATTATTGAGAGCCATAGTAAATTCATTGTTTGGCCAGATATTGTTAGTGTTCATGTGACCAAGTGTAAATCCAGTTATGTTACACTGGGCTAGAAGATTAGATCCTATTTAGCTTCTGCCATTTGTAATTCTTGGCCTAAGATGCTCCTGATCCAACATTTATTGCTCTAGGATTCAAAGGTCCATTTTAGCTCTTACATTTTAGGGCTCTTCATTCTAAGGCCTTTTTTAGCATTCACATTCTTTGCGAAAATTATGCAAACTAGAAAACAGGGGCTCAAATTAACCCTGCCTGAAGTTGGCCTTTAGTAACCCAATTCTTATAGAGATCAAGAGAAAAATTCTCCTAGAAGGTCAAAGACTAAAATGACAGGCTTTTCTTTATTTTTTTAAATTGCCCCAAGCTATTAAGGGATTACAAACCAGCAATGAGAAAAGTGACAAAATTATCCACCAGAAACTCATCATTTATCCCTTCTTCAGCTGCAAAAGACAAGGGAAAGACAATATGACATTAATATCATCATTGCTTAAACCAGGAGAACAATTTATATAATAATAACACTATACAGAAAAACAACTTTAAAAGACTTGAGAACTCTAATCAATGCAATGACCAACCAGGATTCCAAAGGACTGATGCATGTTACCCACCTCCCGACAGATAGATAATGGATTCAAGATGGAGAATTAGACATGTGTTTTAGTTTATGGTTAATATAAGAATTTGCTTTGTTTGACTATTCATATTCCTCATGAGAGTCTAATTTGGGGGGGGTGTGTTCAATGGGAGGGAGAGAAAAGAAATGATTGTTAATTAAGAAAATAAAATTAAATTTTAGCAAAAATCATTGTTGCTTGACATATTCAAATAATTACATATTCATGGTTCATGACACTGCCTCTGTCTAAAACACCCTTTCCCATCTCTCTGCTTATTGATATTCTACTCATCCTTCAAAGGCAAGTTCCAATGCCACTTCAGTCATGAAGCCTCCTTAAATCTCACCTCCCAATCAGAAGTATTCTCTCCCTCCTTGGAAATTCTATAGCAATTTGCTCACATCTTTTTTTATTCATTTATCTACCTGAAAATTTTAGGGATCTGTGATTTCTTTGATGTGGATAACCTCTTCACCAATGAAGATTGCAATCTTCTGTACCTTAGTAAATGGTCTAAGAATTGCTGTGGCTGGAAGATTCATCACCAAACTAGTGATGAACCTTTCTCAACCTCTTCCTCTTCTTCCTCTAAGAAGGAAGGGAGGGAGATGGTTAAAGCAGACATTTGGCTGCAATGGTATTATAACTGAGCTTACAGAGTACAGGGAAATGATTCACCTACAGGAAGACCAGCACAAAAACTTGTTTCATATCTTCATTGAGAATGGACGGGTAAGAACATTCAGCTGAAGGTTCATGAATTTCAATTGTTTGTAGATCATTGAAGAAAAGTAAAGATTTCCTTGCAATGAATAGAAAAATTCTCTTCTGTTTCCTTGTCACAAATTTTAAAACAAACTCACAGCTTGTTATATTATTACATGTGTTTGGGGCCTATTGGTTAAACAGAAATTAATGCAATTCTTTCATGAAATAAAATTTTTTTAAAAAACCACTCCAAGAAAGAAACAAAAATTGAAAACGACCTAAAGGGCCACGGAGAGACACACGGTCAATGCAAGTGGGCTGCACTACATTATCAGAAATGAATTGCTTGTAGGAGGTGACATAAAAAAAAAACCAAACATCGCCAAGAAACATGGGATCAGAAAAGAAGGTGAGCTGGTCTATAGAGATAATGGCTTGGCATTCAAGGTGTTACCTTGGTCCCCATGAAATGGTAAAAGACCTAGGAGGAGACTTTTATCCCAAAAGGCAGATCTTCTCTGGGAAATTTTTGACAGGATACAGACAAGAGTTATACATAAGAAAGTTTTGGATAGGTTGTCATATATACCAGTGGAAGACATAGCCCCATGGGTAGGTGCATGAATGAATTGAAATACTAAAATAATAACAATAATGCTGGTCATCAGCATCATTTCTGCCTCTTTACAAAGCCCATAAAATAAAATTAAGTTGAAAGTCAAATTTTCTTTCTCTTTCTTGGGGAAGCTTGTAATGAAAATGGAGGCAAATACAACTACCTTCTCTTTTAAGCATCTGCATGATGACATCTGGTGGGAACTCTTGATTATTCTGGATGGCTTCACGCCTGTACTTGATCCACTCTTTTCCCATCTGACGCAAAAGCCTTATGCTTTCTTGGGCCTTATTTATCAACTTCCGTTTCCCTAGTGAAAACTTAAAAGAGTGTTTATTTTGTTTCATTATTTCAGGGGACAATTCAACTTAATTCAGAAAATACATGTTAAGGATTTGTTCTGTACAAAGCCCTGTGCTAGGTCCTGGGGATACAAAGATAAATATCAAACAGATCTTGCTCTTGAGGAGCTTATAATCTAATGTGTGTGGCAAGGAGGAGGAAGGTGGAGGTGGGGAACAAACACAAATAAGTATGATAAGAAGGGAGAGCAAGGAGATGGTAACTGAGGTTTGGAAAGAATGAGGGGACTTCAATAACTAGAGTTGGGAAGCAGGGGTTCCAGCATGGAAAAAGGGATAAGGAAAGGCACAGAGACAGGTGAGGGCAGCATGAGAACAGAGTACAGAAATTAGTCCAGTTTGCTTGGAACACAGCAAACTGGCAAAATCTTTGAACTGGAAGAAATCTCAGAGGCCAACTAGTCCAACTCATATTTTGGCAGTAACGTTACCTTTGGTAGAATTCTGAACAAGTGATCAGGAAAATGGGAACAATATTCAAGGAGGATGGAAAAATAAGGTGAAGCCTCATTATAAAAGACTCTGAATTCCAGGATCAGGAGGTATGAGGGGAGAAGGTGCTAAGCAAGTAAAGGATTTGGATACAAGTGGAGTGCTTCAGGCAGCAATGTGGAGGAGACAATATAACACCACACCAAGAAAATGGTTTTCATTTTAAATCACAGATCAGGTAGAAGAAATCCCAAATTTTATACACCCCAGAATATTTCTTCCCTGGGCTTTGCCTCCCCTAATCTGCTACAAAGTCTCATCTACCCCACCCCTTGTTCAATGAGTCCATGCCACCACATGGCCCTAGAGCTTGTGTGTTGCACTGTTATTCAATCAATTCCTATCTATAAAGATGGTCCCTCCAGCCAGATAAGAAGATCTTCAAATTTTGTCAAAATATGTCCCTCCCACCTCAATTCTTTGCCCTAGAATTAGTTATGATTATAATAGATACTCATTGAAGAATGGTAGATTAGTACCTTTGAAAAGGGGTTTTCAGCCATAGTGAAACCCTCTACAATGTTTCGTACTGCAAGAAGAAATGACTTCTGTTCATCAGCCAAAGCCTTTAACTCCATTCCAAAAAGCACCTTCAGAGAAAGAGGCAAAATGTTCTTAATCAAATAATTTTTGGATGGAAACCTATGAGATCAACTTGAAAGGGAAAGTTCCTTTAACTGAGAATCAAGAGAACTATTTTTTAAACTTGTTTGAGCCACTGACCCTTTGTGGTTCTCAGTTTCTGCATCTCGTACAATAGGGGAGTTGGGCTAGATGATCTAAAACATTTGTTTTCATTTCTTTCATTGTAAGAATATGTAACACTTAATGGATTAACGATTGATTAACTGCTGGTGATCCTACAGATTCAGGACTTTTTAGAAGTTCTACAGGAAATGTTTACATCTTAGACTGGGATCTTCATTAAGGGGAAGAAAATTAAGTTTAATACTGCCCTAGATAAGATAGAATCCTGCAAGAAACCTATGAAAGACAGAATCCTATAAAAGACCCTTCCTGCCTCTAGGGGACAGAAAGAGATGCCATTCCATCTTATAGACATGTCTCAATCCCATATGCATCCTCCCCAGAGTCCACATGTCAGGACCCAGACTTCCATAGTGGGGCCATAAGTGTTGGAAGGTGCAAAGAGGGGAGTTGCACTCCCAACTTAAGAACCTCTGGGCCTAACTCCATGGCCATAAGCCAGAAGGAATTCTTGATTCTTTGTAGACTCCCAGGCCAACATGCATTCCAAGAAATCTTAGATCTTAAAGCATGCTCTATCCCATGTGTTAGCTTACTGGACTCTCATTCACTAATGAAAAGAGGAGTGTTTTCATATGGTTGCCTAGTGAGGAAATGATGTGGAGATTTTCCAAACTTACCTGAAGCTGATTCAATTGGGCTCTTGTCATAAAGACAGTATCTTTTCTAACTGTACAAACTAGGGGTCTCTTTCTAGGCCTTCAAGTACATTCTAGAGCCATCAGTCCCCAAAGTTGGAGATATCACCCCCTCGGGGGTGCTGGAATGATGGGGGGGGGTAGTAGCCTCAGGTGCAATGAGGAGGCATTGAATAAAAATAAGGGGGCAGTAGAAGCATAAAGAAAGAAGATAAAATAAGAAAATTTCGAAAAACAGTTCGTATGTATTTCATCTGTTGTATAAGAGAGTTAAAGTTGCAATAATTACATTATTTTCCAAATAAATACACAAAATGCAAGTTATAACCACTCAGCAGTTAGTCTGCTGACAGGTCTTAAACAATTGTTGGCAAGTGAGCTTGTGGTGCATTGTTGGGAAATCCAACATGCATTGGCAAGAATATGTTCATGTAATGACCTGTTTACAATATGATACTATACAGTTACATGATACAATATTGTATCATCAAAATTTCAATGCAGGAAAAAATTCACAAATTTACAATAAATTATTACATTTAGGATATGTCTTTTTAAAAAATATTTTATATTTTTTGAAATTATGCAAATTAAAAAAAAACATTAAAAGGTTAAAGAAAGCAGATTTCCAGGGGGCTGCTGAGTAATTTCTTTAAAAGAGGATGGTAGGCTAAATAAGTTTGGGAACCTCTGTTCTAGACTGAGATTACAGTGTTGGTTCTATCCCAGAGGTTTCCAACTAAATCTTATTTACCTCTCTGAGGCAGTAAGGACATTCAGGTGCTAGTCAATGTTCTGAGTTATGTCAAGAGATAGTTGGCGCAAACTCTCAAAGGTACATGGATAGATTTCAAGGGGTCTGTGAAGTTGACAAGGCAAGAGAAGATAATTTTTCTACTTATTGCAAGGAAATCTTCACTCTTCTTCAATGATATGTAATTCCTTGAAATTCATGAACCTTCAACTGCTTGTTTTCACCCTGTTCATTCCCATCGAGGACATGAAACAGGTTCTGATATTGATCGCCCTGTGGTGAATCATTTCCTATATACTGTAAGCTCAATCACAATATCATTGCAGGAAATTATCTTCTTTCACTCTCTCTCTCCCTTCCTTTCTTCCTTCCCCTTCTCAGGATAAGGTATCTTTTTAAAAAAATCATTACTGAAGAAAATGCCAAATTGCATAATGAAACTAGTAAAAATAAAGATGTAATTTTTCGTTCTACCCAACTTCAAAGACCCCTTGAAATCTATCTCAGTCTAGAATGGGATTGAGCATGATCTAAGGTCTAGGACTTCATGGAATGAATGTTGGCCTGAAAGTCTACAAAGAATCAGGAATTCCTTCTGACCTATGGCCATGAAGTTATGCCTGGAGGTTCTTAAGTTGGGAGTACAGCTACCCTTTTTGCACCTTTCAACACTTATGTCCCCATTATGGAAGTCTGGGTCCTGACGTGGACTCTGGGGAGGATGCATATGGGATTGTGTAGTCCATCATGCCATGTCAAGGATTAAGTCCTAAGAAAGCTAAATCTATTCATAAGTAATCATAGAATAATGTCAGATATGTGGTATGGAATAGGACATCAGTGGACATTCTGACCATCACAACTATATAGTTTTTATGCTCACAATATTTGAGAGGAAGATGCAGTTACAGTAAATTACAAGATTTGTTGGGTTGAACAAAGAATAAGAAGTGCCTTCTCCAGATGTGAGCTAGAACTTTATTAGAAGAATCCGTATATAGATTTAGAATACCCATTTTGTGACAAAGCCATAGCGTAGAGCACCACACTATCTATTTGCCTGTGGCCCAGCAGAATACTATTACTTCTGAAGTTCCAATTGTCTTTCAATTGGACCACTTTGATTCCAGAAATCTTAATAGCCCCCTTACTACTGTTCAGGAGACTGGACTAGTTCCTCACATGTGTTTAATATTGGATTTTTGTCTCTGCCCTCTACTGCATAACTTTCTGTACCCTAGACTTATGACGTCATGTGATGACCTCAACACTATTATGGTACTCAGCACAAAGTAGAATAGTTCTTATGGTTTCACTACTTTTTCTATATTAAAATAGAACATCAGAATTATGATGAACCAACTAAAACACTATATTTTGTTACCAATTAGCAGGTATATAATGAGATCCTATAATTAATCAACAGATCATTTCAAAATGGCTTATACTGGGCACCAAAAAGAGGAAATGTGGAGATATATTAAGCCCCATCTAGATGGCCCACTGGATAGAGCACTGGACTTGGAATCAGGAATACTCATTTTCATGAGTTCAAATCCAGCCTCAGACACTTACTAGCTGTGTGACCCTGGGCAAGTCACTTAACCCTGCCTCTCCATCAAATGAGTAGGAGAAGGAAATGGCAAACTACTCCAGTATATATACCAAGAAAACCTCAAAATGGGGTCATGGAGAGTTGGACACAACTGAAAAAAATGAACAACAAAGTTCCTCTTTTTGCTACATATTACAAAATAACATTAGGACAAACTTTAGTCTGAGTTTCTTGTTCTAATCTGAATGAGAAACACTTAGTCTTTCTTTAACTTTCAATTACAAAACAACACACTGAAATCTTTTTATTATATATCACTCATATCAAAGGCCTAATCAGTCTGTGAACAGAGAAGCCTGGTCAGCCCAGCAAGGTAATAATTATATTAAGAGAAAGAAGAAATCATTCACTGATTCACTTAATAGAACTATCTCTTCAGTTTATCTTTTATCAGGTAGAAAAGAAAATCCTTAGAGCAAGAGTTATTGCTTTTTTCTACGAAGGACTCCTTTAACAGTCTGGGGAAGCCTGTCTACCACTTCTCAGAATAATGTTTTTAAATACAAAGATAAAATATGTAGAATTACAAAGGAAATCAATTATACTGAAATACAACTAGCAATATACTTAGAAAACAAGTTAATGGACCTCGGATTAAGAACTCCTCTCTTGGAGAGAGTGATCAAAGATGAGTTAAATGGTTTAGGAAAATGATTCTCCACCATACGTGGACATATTCTGTTTGATGAATCAAAATTGTGTACCGAACTCTCAGTTGAGCTCTGTAATTATGTTTTCTTATATTGTGCAATGTATTCTTTGTGTGAGGATACAACAAAGTGTAGCTTGAAAATGCTTCAAGTGAGAGAGAGAGAGAAATTATCAAAGGCAGTATGAATTTGTGTTCACTTGGATTTTCTCTCTAAGCAGAGTTGCTTGGAATTAAAATAATTAAATTAATAGATATTTACCTCTGAAAGGCTTGAGTCCAGAATATAAAGTCCTGAATTTTTTCTTCCACATTATTTTGCTATCAAAATAGAGTGACCAAAAATGCACTTTACAAAGAAATTTACAGTATTCTGACTGTAATAGAAAGGAGAAATCAGGTTGCCTTGGCCAAAATATAAAAGCCAAAAGAAAAAAATAGGTAAATTCCTTTTCCATTCTCTGCTCATTGACATGATGATAAAAAAGTCCCTTAGTTACCTTAACAGATATGGCATAAATGGTCGAGCTTATCATATCTTCCATGCATACTTCAGTCTTCCCATCAGCCTTGGCTTCCAGTATTTCCATCATTTGCTCCACTTTTTCATTGATTGCTCCCATCGAGCTCATCAAGTAACTAAGAAAATAAGCATAATTATACTTTATGATAACAATATGCCTAATAACATTTACCAGCTAGACAAGCAGGAGACATTATGGAATGAATGGTATATAGAGAGCTAGTGTGAAGAGGAGAAGGGGAAGGAGGAAGGGATAAAGAAAGGAATAAGAGAGGAAAGAAGAGGAAGAACAAGAAGGAGGAGGAGGGGGAGAAAGGGGGACAAAGGGGAGAAGGGGAGGGGGAGGAGAAAGGACAAATAGCAGTTCATAATTCAAAAAGCAGTTTCTAATCCAAACGAAACATAGACTGCCAGACCTGAGAGGAACTTTAAAATTAGAGAACCACACATTATCAAAATTGGAAACATGAGATGGAGTCAAGATGGCATAGTACAGGCAGCAACTTAACTGAATTCTTCCAACATTCCCCTCTAATCAACTTGAAAATAATGCCTCAAACTGAATTTTGAAGTGGCAGAACCAACAAAAGGTTGGGGTATGACATTTTTCCAGCCTAAGACAACTTACAAGATCAGCAGAAGAGGTCTGTGACACCAGGTAGTGACTGTCCAGATTGCAGCTCAGGCCATACCAGCGGCAGGCCTTGGAGGCAGTTGCAACAGCAGCAGCAGCGGCAGTTTCAGGAGCTCTCGTCCCACAGATGGTAAAGGGATTGGACAATTTGTCAGAAAGAGATTACAAGGAGCTCTTCGCTGGCACTGGGTGAAGGACCCTGCTGCATTGCCCTTACAGGGGAGGTCTGGGTTGCAGTTCTAGGGTAAAAGGGAGCACTAGCATTTGCCTTTGCAAGGGAGCAGGGCCCTGGTCACAGTTCCAAGGCAGAGAAGAGTGCTTGCGGTTGCTCAGAAGGGAGTAGGGGCCCTGGTCTCTATTTCAAGACAGAGGGGAATAACAGTACTTTCAGCCACAAGAGAACAAAGTCCCTTCCTGGGTAAAGACCAGAGCACAGGCCAGGAGAACAGTGACTACACCTCTCCATGGATCATACCACTTCAGGGACACCGAAAACTTATATGTTTTCAGAACTAGCTCTAAAAACAGCAATACAAAAAATTATTTTTATGGGTAGGAAAAATAATAAGAAAATTCATCTAGAAGAACAAAATGTTAAGAAATATCAAGGGAATCAAAGGGAAGAAAGGCCTAGAATACCACATCTCAAATGGTATTATAAAGAGGTAATCACCAAATGATCTGATACTGGTTAAGAAATAGAATGATAGGATAGAGCCCTAGAGTCAGGAGGACCTGAGTTCAAATCTGGCCTCAGACAGATGACACTCACCAGATGTATAACTCCGGGCAAATCACTTAACCCCAATTGCCTCACCAAAAAAAAAAAAAAAAGAAAGAAAAAAAAGAAATAGAATGATAGATGAGTGGAATAAATTAGGTATGTAATATACACTAGTAAATGACCATGGTAATCGAGTGTTTGATAAACACAAAGACCCAAGCTTTGGGGGTAAAAACTCTCTATCTGACAAACTGCTGGGAAAACTGGAAAGCAGTTTGACAGGAACTAGGTATAGATCAGCATTCACACTGTATACCAAGATAAGGACAAAATGGATACATGATTTAGGCATAAAGGGTGATATCATAAGCAAATTACGAGAGCATGGAAAATTTTACCTGTCAGATCTATGACTAAGGAAAGAAGGTATGACCAAACAATAGAGAGGATCATGGGACATAAAATGGGTAATTTTGATTAAATTAAATTGTAAAGGGTTTTGCAAACAAAACCAGTACATCCAAGATTAGAAGGAAAACAGAAAACTATGGGGAAAAAATTTACAGCAAGTTTATCTGATATGGGCTTCATTTCTCAAACATATAGAGAACTGTCAAATTTATAAGAATACAAGTCATTCCTCAACTGATAAATGGTCAAAGGATATGAATAGATAGTTTTCAGAAGAAGAAATAAAAGTTATCTATAATCATATAAAAAACACTCCAAGTACCGACTAGAGAAATGCAAATTAAAATAACTGATTAAAATAATATTTCACACCTATCAAATTGGCTAACATGAAAGAAAAGGAAAATGACAAATATTGGAGTGGATGTGGAAAAATCAGGACACTAATGCATAGTTGGTGGAGCTGTGAAATAATGTAAGCATTCTGGAGAGCAATTTGGAACTATAGCCCAAGGGCTATAAAACTGTGCATACCCACTAATTCCACTACTAGGTCTATATCCCAAAGAGATTTTTTAAAAAAGGAAAAGGACCCATATGTATAAAAAAAATTGTAGTAGCTCTTTTGTGGTTGCAAACAATTAGAAATTGGGGGGATGCCCATCAATTGGCTGAACAAACTGGGATATATGATTGTGATGGCATACTGTTGTGCTAAAGAATATGACAAGCAGAATGGTTTTAGAAATACCTGGGAAGACATATGAATTAATGCAAAGTGAAGTGAGCAGAACCAGGAGAACACTGCATATGGTATAATGATCAACTGTGAAAGACTTAGCTACTCTGATCAATACAACTATCCAAGATAACTCCAAATGGCTTATGATAAAAAATCCTATCCACCTCCAGAGAAAGAACTGATGGAGTATGAATGCAAGGTGAAGTCTAATTTTTTCACTTTATTTTTCCTTGCTTTTTTTTTTTTGCAACATGGCTAGTACAGAAATATGCTTTGCATGGTTTCACATGTATAATTGATATAACATCTCTAGCCTTCACCATGGTGGATGAGGAATGGGGGGGAAGGAGAATTTGGAACTCAAAAAATTTTTTAAATGAATGTTTGACAAATCTATATATATTTAAAATTGGAAACATAGATCTAGAAGAGTGATGTCTTCCCTCTACCCTAAGGAAGGATATCTGTCAAGTCAGCTGAGGAGAAATGTGGAAAACAATTGTGTCTCCTAGAGGTTGGTGTTTCAGGAAAAAACAGCCCACAACTATCTTTTTAATAATGTTTTTTAAATGAATCATCCTAAAATATTGCATTGTTCATGTCACTTTCATGCTGAAAACATTTGAATGTCTCTTCTCTCTATGTAGAGTAAAGAATAAATTTTTTAGCTTGGCTCTCAAAGCCCTCCAGATTCAAACTGAACTTCTCCACAAGAAGCCTCCACTCCAGGCAAGCTAGTCTCAAGGTCCTGTGGAAATACCTTAGGAATTCCCCTTACCGCACCTTTTTCCCATAGGATTTTCCCTTTGGGGGTGCATTCATCACAATTCTCTGCTTCTCTGAAACATAATCTCGCCCCTTTTTTCCTATCTTTTGTCTCCTCCTGCTCCTTAAACAGCATCTGCTCCCACTCCCTCCTCCCCCACGTACTCTGTGATCCAGTGACAATGACTTCCTTGCTATTCCTCAAACTAGACATTCCATCTACTGACTTCAGGCATTTTCTCTGGCTGTACTCCATGCCAGGACACTCTCCCTCCTCATCTCAGCCTCCTAGCTCGTTCAGCTTCCTTCAAGTCTCAGCTAAAATTTTACCTTCTGTAAGAAGTCTTTCCCAGTCCTCCTTAATCTTAGTGCCTTCCCTCTGCTGATTAGTTCCAATTTATCTTTGTATTTATCCTGCTTGTACATAGTTGTTTACATGTTGCCTCCCCCCATCAGACTGTGAGTTCCTTGAGAGTGAGGATTACATAACTTTCTTTGCATCCCCACCACTCAGCAGTATCTGGCATGTAGCAGATGCTTAACAAATGTTTGCTGGCGTTCTTTAAGGTCCCACTCAAATCTTTCCTCCCCTGAAAAGTCATCCCTGACCAGACCAATCCACCCCACAGAAAAACTCGCTCCTCTGGGTCCCTGCTGTACTCTATTGACTCTTTATCCCATTGTGTTCTGTGTCGAATTTTGCAAACATGTATTAAGTGGCAGGCATCGTGTGTTGGTCCTGCAAAGACAACCTAGATTCCCAGTCCTCAAGGTCCTTATTTTCTCCAAGGAAAATACAGTATGTATACGGACAGTTCTTGCTTTACATAAGGGGACCTTTTAACAGATCTCTATGGTTAAGGGAGTAATTCGAATTTGCGAACGTGGGGAAGGGAGAGTGGGAGGAAGGCAGGAATGGAGCCACTGGCCTGTGGATGGAGGGGGCCAACACATGGTTCAAGGTCATGTGGGGGCCAGGGACAGAGAAGTGAGAACAGGAAAAGGAACCCATTGGCGAGCAACCAGCCACTTGGGGGCTTGGCCAAAATTGAGAAGAAAAAAGGGGACTGGACTGGGGAGGATGGGTGGAGCAGGGCAAACGTGGGGAGGAGGGTCTCAAGGCAAACGTGGGATCCAGGGGTAGATGGGTATGGAGTGGTCTCTCCTGGGGTCTGTTCTGCTTTCACTTGGGGGTTGTTTTTTGTTTTGTTTTGTTTTGTTTTTAGTCCTTTTTTGGGGAGAGGTATTGGTGGTAGAAGGCCACAGAACACCAAGTCAAAGGGCAGGAGCAAAAAGAGCACAGTACCGTACATTAAAGTTCACATGTGTTTTTTTAGAATGTGGATTTCTTTCAGAATTCTTTATATAAAGTTGAATTTGCATAATGCAGAATTCAGCCAGCAATATGAAGAGCAGATGCTTATATCTCTGGGAATAAGTGTAAGGTCAGCCTTGGGCTGAATCATACTCTGACCCTCCCTCCCTTTCTCCCTTCGCCACAACAGCTTACAGTGCTCAAAAATCCCAAAGAATGGATCTGAAAATGGAGGTAACAGATAACACCTTGCTGCCCTGCCACCACCACCCTGGAGCAAGTCAAAAGTGAAGAAACATCCCTAACACGTAGAAGGGACTTTTCTACCAAAGGGGGAAAGCTAGGAAAGCTGGCTTTTGGGGGATCTGCCACAGCACTATCCCAATTAGGACACTGGCTTGGAAAAGAGCAGCATCAATTCTATCCCCAGGAAGTTGTAAAGAGTATCTTTTAGCAAATCTCATTTGTAAACAGAAGTCTTGTTCTTAGACTTTTTATCTTCCTATTCTCCTTCCCTAAAGTAGATGCTGGTACAGCTAAATGGTAAAGTGAACAGAGCACCAAGCCTGGAGACAGAAAGCCCTCAGACCTCACATCGGACCTCAGACACTTACTAACTGTGGGACCTTAAGCAAGTCACTTAATCCTGCTTGCCTCAGTTTCCTCATCTGTAAAATGAGCTGGAGAAGGAAATGGCAAACCACTCCAGTGTCTTTGCCAAGAAAACCCCAAACGGGGTCATGAAGAGTCAGACACAACTGAAACAACTGAAGAATAACAAAATAGACGCTGACTTACCACATAACAATTCATTTAAAAAGACCTTTTTTGCTAATGGTAAGAAATGAAAAGAGTAGGAAAAACTGGGCAAGTTTCCTCACTTGAAAATTCCTGGAACTCACAGAAATAGACCCTTTTGCAAATGGTTGTAATAAGAGGCTCTTAATTTAGAAAGGCTGTAGTATTAAATAAAACTGGAAAGGCAGGTTGGAGCTTCATCGTAGAAAGATTTAGATGAGTCTGAGGAGCTTGTATTGGGTCCCAAAGATAATTAGGAGCCCCTGAAAAAAATTTGAATGGGAGAGTGACGTAATTAAACTTTTGCCTTGCAATGATTGTTTTTGGTAGCTGTGTAGAGAATGGACTAGAGAGGAGATGTTGAAGGCTTTGGAGACCAATTAGGAGTCTAATGTAATAGCCCATACCAAAGGTAATGAGGGCTTGAATCAGAATAGTGATAGTGTGAGTGGATATGAGGGATATTGTGGAGATAGAATTAAATTTTGGGGGTCAGGGAGAGAAGGAACAGTGAAGGGCAACATACGGTGACTGGAAGGATAGTGGCACCTGAACAGAAACTGCAAACTTTGGAGGAAGGGCACATGCGGGGGCAAAGGGAAGATAACAAATTCCATTTTGGACATACTGAGTTTGGGATGTGGATGGAGTATTTAAGTGACAGCTGGCCAAGGAGGGACTGGAGTTCCAGGACAGAGAGATTTGGTCTGGATATATAGATTTCAAGGTCATCTACATTGAAATGGTAAGTGAACCTGTGGCACCAGATGAAATTACCAATTCTATTAAATTCAACAAACACCAAAGAGAGGAGTCCAGGAGAGAGTCACGGGAAACAGCCATCTTTAGGGGGTGGAAGACACAAGTAGGTAGTCAATCGATGGATTGATGTTATTAATATGATGATATTAATGATGATTAGTTATTTTTGTTCCAGTTCCTCAAAGAAACTGTAGTTTCACTGACCATGCCTTCTACCCCTTTAAATTCCCCATGCCATCCATTACATAATAGACACTTAGAATAATAGAATCTCAGAGCCAAAAGGGACCTTCGCAAAAACACAATCCAACCCCTATTTGTCAGGGAAGGAAACAAACCTAAAGCAGGGAAATCATGTTCCCAGAATCATACAACTGGTAAGTGTCAGACATGGTCATCAAAATTAGGTCTTGTGCTCTTTCTACCATGCCATGCTGGTTCCCAAATAAGTGTTATTAATTAAAAGAAAAATTGTTTTTTTTTTTCTTTACCTGATCTGATGCCTTGCTCCCAACCCCACTCATCCTCTCTGCCTCCTTCCAACTTAGCATATCAGCTCTTCTCTCTGTCAGGAAATTGTTCTATCTCCACTATTGCCAAAAACAATAAAAAGATCATTTTAAGGCAAACTAGAAACACTTGAGATATAGTCATGGTAATTCCAGCTACCCCAGTCTTGTGCTTCTGTGGTCTTAACATCCATTTGTATATGATTTATTATACCACCTTCTACTGTCCACTCACCTTCGATGAAAAGCTGGATCCAAAATTCTCCGCTGCCTCTGCCAAAGTTCATGATCCAATTCTGACACCAAACCTCTCCCTAAAAATCTTAAAAATACAAGACACCAGGAAAAAGAAATGTTACAGATCATAATCTCTGTGTCCCTTAATACACAATCTTGATGACTTGCTATGGTCCAAAAACCCCCAAAAAACAAAAAACAAAACAAAACAAAGCCTAGTGGCAAATCTATATGAGGATAGGCTGGCCCTCAGACAACAGCCACATGGCCCATGACTAGGCCCAAGTTCAAAAGCTTTCTAGATTTGCAGGAAATGACAGAACTTGGACTTCATTGACAAAGCCTTGGAGAGGCCAGACTCAATTCCATCCCAAAAGAAGCATTGGAGGAAGATGTCAATGGAGATCTGTTGTTGTTATTTATTGGGGTCCAACCCATTTGGGGTTTCCTTGGTAAAGATACTGGAGTGGTTTGACATTTCCTTCCCCAGCTCATTTTACAGATGATGAAAATGAGGCAAACAGGGTTAAGTGACTTGCCCAAGATCATACACAAGTAGGTAGTCAATCCATCATTAGTTATCTTAGTTCAAAGAAACTGTAATTTCAGTGACCTTGCGTTCTACTCCTTTTAATTCCCCATGCTATCCATTACATAATAGACAGTGTCTATTAGTAAGTGTCTGAGGTCACATTTGAACTAAGGAAGATGAGTCTTCTTGACTTCAGGCATCCACTGTGCCACCATTTGCATTATAATAATAGTGATAAAAACAGATGTTCGTATTTCTATAGAGCTTTGCAGTTTACAAAAATTTTGGCAGTCATACTATGAAATAGGTTATGCAACTATTATCCATGCTTTACAGATGAGGAAACTGAGATACACTTAGCAGAAACCTGGGCAGAAAAGTTTATACCCAAGACTTCAGAGTTAGGAAGTGCTCAAGTCCAGGCCTCTTCCTACTATACCATACTGCCTCTCCATACCTCTCTCTCATTTCATTATTTTTCAGGGTAAAAACCAGTGTCTAAACATGCAGCAAAACAGTAAAAACAAGAACAACAGCAATTCCTGCCCATATAAAGGACATGCTGAGTGCAGTGCAAATTCATGCTAATCTCTGACACCTCTAGCTCCTCAAAATGAGGAATGATCTTCCCAGTGATTACATGGGAGAACTCCAAAATCTAGAATTACCAAAGGAAATTAAATTATACTCATTCAATTGGGCTATCACAATACTCTCTTAACTGATCACCCTGCCTCTCTTGTCCACTATCTAATCTATCTTGCATATGATACTAATTAATTTTCCTAATGCACAGATTTGACCAGACTCTTAAGAGGCTCCCTACTACTTCTCAGAAAAAAAAAATAGAACCTCTTTCGTTGACTTTAAGATATTCTACCAGGGCTCCAAGCTACTTTTCCAGCCTCGTTATACTCTGCTTTCCAAACCAGATTACTAAGCGATCCTCATTTTCACTGACAGCACTTAGGTGGTGCAGTGGTTAGAGAACTGGACCTAGAGTCAGGAAATCCTGGGTTCAAATCCTACCTCAGACACACTCATTAGCTATATGAACTTGGACAAGTCACTTAATCTTTGTCTGCCTCAGTTTCACCATCTGTAAAATGGGGATAATAAAAGTGCCTGGCTCCCAGGATTATTGTGAAAATCAAATTAGATAATATTTGTAGTGCTTTGCAAACATTGAAGCATAATATAAATGCTAATGATTATTATTTCTAATTTCTCAAAGCTCACTCATTCCTTATACCTAAAATGGCTGCTTCTAGCCAACTTTTGTTCCTCACCTATTGAAGCCCAGCTTGCTATAGAGAACTTAGAGTCCCAGATTTAAAGAGTCAGGCGTGGCTTGGGTTCAAATCTGCCTCTGCAAATTAACAGGTGCATGGTCATGAAGAAGTCATTTAACTTCTCTGAACCTCAGCTTCCTCGGCTGCAAATTGTTTTTTTTTTGAAAAGCATCAAATGAGATGTGTATAACACGCTTTGTAAATCTTAAAGTACTATAAAAATGTCTGCTATTATCACTGTTAGTATTATGAGTCTTTCCTTAAAGGCCCAGCTTTGACACCTCCTCTTCCATAAATCCTTCCCAAGTCCCCCCAACTAAAAGGAATTATTTCCTTCTTCAATCTGTTAAACTACTCAATCTCTCTGACACTTTAATCCCACTTTAACTTGTAGCATAGTCTATATAGGTTGAAATTCTTCAAAAGCAGGGCCTGTTTTGTTGTTCAGTGATGTATCCCTGAACATAGTAGACATTTAAAAACATCTGGTGAACTGAATTGAATTTATTGGATCTTAGGATGAGGTCCCCAGGGAATAACTGAACCCTTCAGTCCTTTCTATTCATCCCAAATATATTTTGTTATAATATCTTTTACCTTTTGCCAAAAAAATTCTGTAACTTTGAGTATATAAAGGGATCCTTTTTGTATTGGGAGGACATCAGGAATACCTAAAGAGCAAATTAAAATTATTTTTCTTTTATTAGTATTTTTTTAGTATTTATTAGTATTAGTATTACACATTTTCATATCTCTTATTCTTCCTTTGTGTTTGTTTCAGGGAGATTATGACATGACTTGCAACTGACTTTGATTTGAGTGAGGGAGGGCTATGCAAGGTCACCAGCCTCACTTTTTCCTCCAGAGCCATCTGGGTCCAGTGGCCAGATATTCCTCAGGAAGACTAGAGATGGCCCAGATGCAGTGGAAGACCCTGGCTCTTTTAAGTTAAGGTCTTTTCTGGTTCTCACTTTGAGTGAGGTAACACCCATTCAGCAAATAAGCCTGTTTAAGAAGTGAGTCAAGGGATGGCCCTTTTAATAAAAAAAAAAAATCAAAATGGAAGGGAAGACCCTCAGAGTTTCTGGTCAAAAGAGAAACAGTTACTATTTGTGTTTGTCATTCATTCTCCAGGAGGACCATGACATCAGGGAGATGATGACATGACTTGCAATTGACTTTTATTTGAGTGAGGGAGCACTGTGAGAGGTCACCAGCCTCACTTTCTCCTCCAGAGCCATCTGGGTCCAGTGGCCAGATAGCTATCAGGATGACTGGAGATATCTCTTATTCTTCCTTTGAAGACAGCAAAAGAGAGTGAAAGATAACTAATGGACAACCCGCTTGCTCCACTGATATCCATCCACACAATATCAAGGGGAAGGCACCCACTAACAATATCAATCCCCTTGGATAACTGCCTCTCGGAAAATTTAAGGGGAGGCATGGACAAGAATCACATAGGATAACCAGACAAGGAGAAGCTATGATCTATATCCTTGAAAAGATTATCCACATAGATGAGACCATAGATACATGTTGGAACACTCATAGATCATATTTCATAGCACTTTTTATTTTACAAATCAGCAATTACATGGGCAGCTAGGTGGTGCAGTGGATAGAGCCCTGGACCTGGAGTCAGAAGGGCCTGAGTTCAAACATGGCCTCAGACATTTACTAGCTGTATGACTTTGGGCAAGTCCCTTAACCTTGTTTGTCTCAGTTTCCTCAGCTATAAAATGAGCTAGAGAATGAAATGGCAAACCCTCCAGTATCATTGCCAAGAAAACACCAAATGGGGTCACAAAGAGTTGGACACAACTAAACTGACAAAACAAAGGTCTTCCTGACTCCAGGAGTGCCACTGAGTCATCTAGATGACCCTAAAAGTAATTTTTTCAGTTGTGTCCAACTCTTCGTGACCGCATTTGGGGTTTTCTTGGCAACAACATTGGAGTATTTTGCCATTTCCTTCTCCAGCTCATTTTACAGATGAGGAAAATGAGGCAAACAGGGTTAAGTGATTTGCCCAGGGTCATACATCTAGTAAGTGTCTGAGGCCAGATTTGAACTTGGAACAATGAGTCTTTGTGACTCCAGGCCCATCACTCTAGCCACTGCTCCACCTAGCTGCCCTTGAGTAACTAGTATAATAATTATACAAATGTATGTGCATGTATGCAAGTACATGTAAATGACAATTTCTTCTCATGCCTTATCAGGATATGAAGAAAACTCTGGATTCTCAAAGTTTAAGCCAACAGAGCACAGTCTTTGGCAGGTCCTCCACCAAGTTGGAAAATCTTTGAGTACAGTTCTGGCAATGAAAAATATGTGTCTCATCTAAGGACCAGACTAGGGAGGTGAGGAAAATCTCATCACCAGAACCCTGGCTATTAAGTGCTAGATTTTTTTCAGTTGTAGAATCTGATTTTAGGGGTGGAACAACTGAGGTCTGCATTGATAAAAAGGCCCTAGAGATATTGTTCATTTAGATGTTAGCAAGGCATTTGATGGTCTTGTCCTCTTCCTGTAGAAAAGATGGAGATACGTAAGCTCGACCAGTGCTTTTTTTTTTTTTTAAAGGCAATTGGGGTTAACTGACTTGCCCAGGGTCACACAGCTAGTAAGTGTCAAGCGTTTGGTCTGAGGCCAGATTTGAACTCAGGTCCTCCTGACTTCAGGGCCAATGCTCTATCCACTGCACCACCTAGCTGCCCCAAGACTAGCACTTCTTAAGCTGTGGGTCAAAACCCCATATAATATGGTGTCGTGAAAAATTTGGCAACAAAAGTAAAAGGTTTCTGAACACACAATGACCAAATTAAATTAAAAATCAAACAGGTAAAGAATTCAAGGTGCTTCTGGCAGTGCTCGCCCATGTTGCATCATGCAACTTTACTGCAGCCTTGGTTCTGAACACAGAGCATGTGCACATTGCACTGTGCATGGCCTCAGGCCATGCAACACCTATGAATGCTACTGAAAAGTGAAAAGTGAAGAAAGTTTGTGAAGCCCTGGGCTAGACAATAGTATAGTTAAATAGATTCAGAACAGGCTGAATGGCCAGATCCAAAGAGCAGCCATTAATGATTCAATAACACCTTGGAAAATGGTTCCCAGTGGTGTGCCCTAGAGACCTATCCTCGGCCTTGTTCTGTTTGATATTTTTATCAATAACGGGTAAAAATATTGATAGTATGATAATGAAAGTTGCCAATAACATGAAGTTTGAAGGGATAGTTAATACAATGGATGTCAAGAGTCGAGATCTTGAAATAGTTTGACAGACTAGAAGGATGGACCAAAACCAATAAGATAAAAGTGAATGGGGATAAATGTCAAGGTTTACACCTGGTTATTAAAAAAAAAATCAACCTTCCAAGCTAAAAGAACTAAAGCAAACTTAGACAGCATTTAGAAAGTCACAGCATCCAAGACTATGAAAGTGATAACCGTCTTATGATCTCTCTTGGTCAGACAACATTTGGAGGGTTGGGTTTAGTTCTAGGTGCTTTATTTTAGAGGGGCAAGCTGGATAGATCAAGCCACAGGACAAGGAACTAGAGAGGGAGAGTGGAATGAGCCCTGGCTCTTTAAGTCAGAGGAGCTGGGGTCCAATTCTGCCTCTGAAACTTATTACCTGTGTGACTCTGGGCAAGTCACTTAATCTCCCTTGGTCTCAGTTTTCTTATCTGTAAACAAGGGGGCTAATCTGGGTGGCTTTGGAGGTCCCTTTGAATTCTATATCCATGACCATATGTTTGGCTTAAAGAAGAGAAGATTTGGAGGAAAGGCACTGAAAAATTTAATATTTGAAGAGCTACTATGTTGGAAAGGGTTTAAATTTGTTTTGTTAAATGAAGAACAAGTTATATAAGCTACAGGGTGGCAAATTTTGGCTTGTTATCAGGAAAATTTCCTAAAAATTAAAGTTATCTCTATATGGAATGGGGGGCAGCTAGGTAATGCAGTAGATAGAGTGGTGGGCTCGAAGTCAGGAAGACTCTTCTTCCTGAATTCAAATCCAGCCTTAGGCACTTACTAGCTGTGTGGCCCTGGGCAAATCACTTAACCCCATTTGCCTCAGTTTCCTCATCTGTAAAATGGAGAAGGAAATGGCAAACTGCTCCAATATCTTTGCCAAGAAAACCCCAAATCAGGTCACAAAGAGCTGGACACGACTGAAACGAGTAACCAACAACATGTGGAATGGGCTGCTTCAAGAATTAGGGAATGTAGGGGCAGCTCGGTTGCACAGTGGATAGAGTACCAGCCCTGCATTCAGGAGGATCTGAGTTCAAATCCGACCTCACACACATAACACTTACTAGCTGTGTGACCCTGGGCAAGTCACTTAACTCCATCGCCTAGCCTAAACAAAAAAAAAAAAGGGAATGCCCTCTCATCTATGGTCATCAAGCAAAAGCTGAATGGGCACTTGTCAGATAGGCTATAGAAAGGTGAAGTTGTTTAAGTAGGGGTTGAAACACATTGCTTCAGAGGTTTCTTCCAATTCAGATTTTGTTATTCTGTGAATGACTACTACAATGAAATCACAGCTTTTTTGAAGAACTGAAGTACATACATACATACACACACACACACACACACACACACACACAATCAAACGCATTAGAACAAAAAAGTAAAGGAATCTACTCTAACCCATCTTTCTCCCTCTTTTACAGATAAGGAAACAGAGGCCCAGAGGGGTCAGAAAATTGTATCATACAGATACAAATAAGTGGCAAGGCTGAGATTCGAACTCAGGTCTTCTAACTCCAAATCCAGTGCCTTGTCCATTATTACTAATTGGTGGAGGATGTATTCAAGTGAAATACCTTGACTAACTGAGGATTTGTAATAAGCACTGAAGCTCGGTGAAGGACATTTATACGTACAAATGGTCCATATTCTTTGGCCCTGTGGAGCAAAGTGAGAGAGAAAAAGGTTATGTTCAAAAAGAATTCAAAGTTCAGCAGACACCATGTCAAAATGTTTTTCAGAAGCAGAAAGAAAAGATATTCCTGTGTTTTAGTTTCTAAACATTACATTTCCTTTGATATTACAACACTATCAAACCTCATAAGCAATGCTCCAGTCTCTTAGTCATAATTTAATGTTCTGACAAATCCTTAACTCCAGGACCTTGTACAAAAGTCTTTTGTCCAATGCTTTATCACGGCCTGGGGGTCCAATGTGTTATCATACTGAAGCACAGAATACTAGGATACAGCACAGGGCCTGAAGTCAGGAAGACTTATCTTCCTGAGTTCAAATCTGGCCTCAGACTCTTACTAGCTGTGCGACCCTGGGAAAAATCACTTAATTCTGTTTGTCTCAGTTTTCTCATGTGTAAAATGAGCTAAAGAAGTTAACGGCAAACCGTATCTTTGGCAAGAAAACCTCAAATGGGGTCAGAAACAGTCAAACGTGACTGAAAACTATTGAACAACAACAGCATATAATCCCACAAGAAGAAATCATTTTAAAGTCCTCCTATACTCCTGGCACTGAGGAGACAAAGACAAAATCAAGCAATTACTAAGTCTTCACAGAGTTTTATATTCTATTGAAGGAAACAACATATACATATAAATATGTACAAAATATACACAAGGTAAATGGGGAGAAGACAAGGCTGGGGTGGGGGTGGAGCAGAATCAGGAAAGGCTTTCATGGTCATAGTTGTACTTGAGCTGAGCCTTGCAGAAGCTAGAGATTCTGGGAGGCAGAGAACAGAAAAAAAAGGATATTTCAGGTTTATGGGAACAGTCTGTACCAGGAGTCCTACCAAGCTTGCCAGGTTTCAAAGCACAAAGCCAGGGGCAGAAGAGAGCATGTCTATAACCTAAGAACCGGACTAAGTGGAACGAAGCTCAATAGCAGAACTCTGGCTGCCAGCTGATGAATTGTTTAGCTATGGCAACTCACAATGACCATCAACTGAGAAACAGAGGCTGCAACCTGCTTCAGTGGATAGAATGTGTCCATCAAGAAAAGCATAGTTCCTTTGCAATATCAAATTAACTGATGTCTAATGAATTAGACAGAAATTTTTTTTAAGTTGGCAACAAATTTTGTCATAAAAATTCCATTTAAAACACCTCAGGAAGTAAAACAATTTCTAAGTCCAAGGTGATGAGATCAGAATAGTATATTTAGAGGTAGAAGAGATCTTCATAGTCATTTAATCCAACCTCTTTGTTTTGCTGTTATGGAAACTGAAGCCTTGAAGATGTTAAGTTACACAGGTAGTAAGAGGCAGAGTCAGAACCTGAACCCAAGTCCTCTGACTTCAAATACAGTCTTCATCTGTACCATAGTATTTCACAATCATGTTTTTCCTACTGTCTCCCTCCAGAAAGGACTTCTGTGAGGGTAGTGCTGTACAGAACAGCATTAGACTATCAATTACTATATTCAATATTTTATTATACTGATCTAATACACCCCCAAGTAAAAGGTCCTAAGTGAATGTTAACCTCTTCATGACACATATAGCACACTTTCGGGACAGAAGTCTTAAGAGTTTAAGCAGAAGTCCACTAACAAAGTTTGTGACCTGTTTTTGCAATCTCTCACAATCTCTGTGGAAGAGAGTTTCTCAGAGTTCAGTCAAAAACATGAAGAACATGTGTTATCTTTTTAGCATATTTTATTTTCTCAATTTAGTCATTTTTTAAAATGTTGAATTCCAAACTCTCTCTATGCTTCCATCCTTCCCCTTTTCCCCCACCCTTGAGAAGACAAGCAATTTGCTATAGATCACACATGTGAAGTCATTCGAAACACATTTCCATATTAGCCATAGCATGTGCTTTTCTTTATGTGAAAAAACCCAGTCAGCCTTGGCTTGAACCAGACTCTAATATTCTGTCCCTTCTTTACCCCCCCTCAACAAATTATAATGCTCAAAAATCTCTAAATATGGATCTGCAAACTAAGGTAACAGTTAACACCTTGCTTGCTTCCCCACTAATCATCACCCTTGGTGAAAATTACATGGAGGTGGCTAGGTGGCGCAGTGGATAGAGCACTGGCCCTGGAGTCAGGAGCACCTGGAGTTCAAATCTGGCCTCAGACAACTTCGACACCTCCTAGTTGTGTGACCCTGGGCAAGTCACTTAACCCCAACTGCCTCACTTAAAAAAAAAAAAAAGAAAATTACAGGGGAAAACTTAGGAATGGGGTTATGAAAAACTTCCTAACAATTAGAACTACACCAAGGTAGAATTGTTGCCTTTAAGAAAAAATGGGCTCCCTCCCACTGGAGGTTGGCAAAGGCTAAAGGAGAAAGGAAGGGAGTTGATAGATTGTTGTTGTTGTTGAGTCATTTCATTCACGTCCGACTCTCTGTGAATGCATTTGGAGTTTTCTAAGCAACAGTACTACAGTGGTTTGCTCTTTCCTTCTCCAGCTCATTTTATAGCTAAAGAACAAGTATTCTTAGTCAAACAAGGTTGAACTAATTGGCCTTTGAAGTTCTTTCTAAGATTGAGATGTTGTAATTCTATTTAAAGGTATACAGAAGAAAAGCTGAAAAAAAATCCATAGAAGCAATTTGGTCCAGGAAGGATGGTGACACACAAAGTCATAAAGGAATCCGGTTCTCTAACATATATTCCAGCAAAGATCTAAAAAGTGCACCAGATCAAACAATGATTAAGAAATCAAAATAGAAACAAGATTAAGTTCTATCACCCATACCAGACTGCACAATAAGCTAAAGAGAAGCTGTCAAACATTAAAAAAGAGGGGCTGCCAGTGAAGCTAGCACACGCTCAGGCACACAGTCAGAAAGCCTGCCAACACTTGGACGACGCTCACTCCAAGAGAACCTGAATCCTGTAGCTTTGTTCCAGGGGTACTGGGGGTGGGGAAGAAAAAGAAAGCTCAGATATAGTTGTCATGGAAGTTCAGGGGAACAGAGATCTAAAACCCACAGATCTCTGCCATTGCATATGGGGCTAAGAATTGGTAGTGCTCTGATTAGGAAGCCCCAGAGAGGCCAAAAATCCTCACAACCCTCCTCTGGGGATGCCCCAGAGTGGCATCAATCTGCCAGGGCTCTGAGTACAGAAACACTGGAGGTGGTAAAATCCAGTAATAGGAGCCAAAAAAATTGAGGTCAGGAACAAAGAGGGCCTGACTGCCTCATCTAAGACTGTAAATCCTGGCCCTGGTACCAAGCCCCAAATTAGGAACTGAGACTACAGATATGAGTAAACAGAAGGCACTGAACACTATGAAGAAATATTGTGGGTAAAGAAGTACTCAAAGGGCAGAATGATAAGAGAATAATTACAAAAAGTAGAAACAGAGCCTTGAGAGAGAAAAAAAGCATAAGGACTATGAGAACACTTGGAAGAAATGAAAAGAGAGAAAAATGGGCTTTAAAGGGGAAAATTGGAACAAGAAAAAATATAGAACAAAAATTGGAAAACTTTACATAAATGTACTTCCTTAAAGTTAAAATGGAGAAAACAAAACTCAAAGGACCCAGAACACTCAAGAAATATGAGGACAAAATTAAAAGATTGTAAAAATTGATTGTAAGCTCCTTGAGGGCAAGGATTGTCTTTTGTCTCTTTTTGTATTCTCAGGGTTTAGTATGGTGTCTGACACGGAGTAGGCTCTTAATAAATGTTTATTGATGGACTGACCAAAAATAGAAGAAAATATGTTATCAAATATGTTATGTTGCATGTTGTAAAAAATAACTGACCTGAAAAACAGATCAAGGAGAGAACCATCAGATTCCTAAGCAAAAATCCTGAATATTATAAGAAATCATAAATAAAAACTTCCCAGATCTATTAAAATCAAAGAACAAAGCAAAAATAGAAAGAATCCACTAATCACCTACAAAAAAGGAGGAAAGAAGGAAGGAAGGAAGGAAGGAAGGAAGGAAGGAAGGAAGGAAGGAAGGAAGGAAGGAAGGAAAGAAGGAAGGAAGGAAGGAAGGAAGGAAGGAAGGAAGGAAGGAAGGAAGGAAACAAGTATTTGTTAACTGCCTACCATGAGCTAGGCATTATGCTAAATGCTTTACAAATATTATCATTTGATCCTCACAACAACCCTGGGAGGTAGGTGCTATTATTATCACCATTATACAGTTGAGAAAATTGAAGCAAACAGAGCTTAAATGACTTGTCCAGGGTCACACAGCTACTAAGTATCTGAGACCAGATAGGAACTCAGGTCTATGCTGACTCCAGGTCCAGCACCACCTGGCTTCTTCATGAAATGAAAACTCTTAGGAATGAAGTAGCCAAAATCCAGAGCTTCCAGGTTAAAGAAAAAAATATTGCAAGCAGCCAGAAATTAAAAAAAAAGTTCAAATACCAAGGAATCACAGTCAGGATCATGTAAAGCTTGAAAGTAAGTACTATAAAGACAGAAAATGGAAGTGTAAAATATTGTTGCTCAATCATTTTTCAGTCATGTCTGACTCTTCATAACCCCATCTGGGGTTTTCTTGCAAAGATACTGGAGTGGTTTGCCATTTCCTTCTCCAGTGGATTAAGGCAAGCAGAGGTTAAGTGACTTGCCCAGGGTCACACAGCTAGTGAGTGTTTGAGGACAGATTTGAAGTCAGGTCTTCATGACAACAGGTCCAGTGCTCTATCGACTGAGCCACCTAGCTGCCTCATCCCATTTGGGGCTTTCTTGGCAAAGATACTGAAGTGGATTGTAGAGAAAAAGTAAAAGTTTAAAAAAAAGTATAAGAATCAGTGATTAACGTCTTGAATGAGGTGACAAGAGGAGAAGAAAAGTAGAAGCAAACAATTTCAATTATAGATGACTATTAGTGATCTATAATATAATTGATTCTGCCTTTTCTTTACTTCTTTCTTCTAAAGTAAAGATGGCAGCATGAGAAGGAAGAGAGAACAAAGTATGAGAGATGATGGAAGGAA